CTATCTAAATAAACGATGGGGATTCCCGAATCTTAGCTTACCTTTCTCCCAGCGGCGGGGATCATCGTTGACCATGTCAACGCCGTCGAAGAGGTTCTGCTTGAACTCCTCGATGGTGGAGCTCTCGGGGAGACGGCCGGAGAAGCCGGTGATGGCGATCTCGTCGTTGAGTTGCTGCTGGCGCGGCACATAGTGACTACCACCCAGGTCCAATTGGGGGGCGGCACGCTGTGCGGGCTCAGCGGTGATAACTTCCTCGGCGAATCGGGCGGGCATCTTGTCGGATTGGGATGGAGAGTGGGTGCTTAGGTAGTCCTGTCTATCGTTGTGTGCCGGGTGCGGGGTGGACGAGGAGGTGCTCGGTGTTAGCTGCGCGTCGGGATCCCGGAAGGCGTCAGGCTGCTGCGAATTCTGCTGCTGCTTGTTGCGTCTGCGGCGTCGGCGGCGATTGGCGCGAGCGCTCTTTCCGTTGTTCTGGGTGCTGGGGGAATGGTGGGGCTGATGGGTGCTGCAATTGTTGGGCTTGAAAGCAACAGGATGCGGCTGGTCCACGGCTTGCAACAGGTTTAGTTGTAGGGGCTGTAATTGGTAGAGGAGAGGAAAAAGAGATTTATAAAATATGCTATAAATATAATCATAAATTAAAATACATTTTTTTTTAATAAAAAAATTACAATTCCGAATTTACAAATATTTATTTTCAAATTTAGCATACGTTCTGAAACATTTGTGCCACCCCTCGCTGTTAAGCTAACAGAGGGCCAAAGCTCTCAGCCACCCGCCGTTGCAGAGCTTTCGCTCTCTGGAGCGGGATACCGGACCACTTTTTTTTTTTTTTGAATGTTCAGCTGGTGGAAAGTTGGTGTAGAAATTGCAAATCAGGTGATGCCGTGCCGGCGGAGCTTTGGCCGCGCATTTGCCGGCGCACGGCATTCTTTGTTATGGGCGGCTTTCCGCTTTGAAGCCGCCGAGTGAAAACCCGCCGACAACCACTGACCGTTAACAGCAACTTGTGGCAGCAGGGTTAACAGTGCAACACCATTCGCGTTAACATAGGCCACACACTCACGTACTGAACAAGTAAGCTGCTTTCTTATTCGTCGAGAAACTCGTACGATGTGCGAATGCGATGTGGGTATGATTCAACAAAAGAAGGGAAGTGAAATGAAATGAGCAGAGTTTGGCTGCTCAGGCAGAGTGACGAAGTCGGCTAAGCTGAAATCTAGGGAACCCGAAAGCGTCGTTAGAAGAGGAAGAGCCAGAACAAGAGCGGTCAGCAACAAAGCGCAAATAAACATTACACTGCGAGGAAATATGGGCTTAGGCTATCGATTTATGCCGATCATTTTGTAAATTTTTTATAACAATATTTAAATTTAAGTTAATCATTCAATTGAAATTGTTATTCATTTGTTTTGTTATTGTTAATTGCAGTTTTTTTTTTAATTATACTGAGTAAAAAACTCTTAAAAGATTTAGAAAATATATTTCAAAATTCTATAAAGTTAAACATGAAGCTGAATTGCTTTGACATAATTTGATAATTCTCTAAGCGTGACGATCTACAATATTAAACTATTTTCATCCGATCAATTTTTTTAAAAATCATGATGAATAAAATGATACAAATTTTAGGGATTTCTCCTTTTTTCCCGGTGTAACAATGAACTGCCGGTAAAATCGGCAGACTCAGCGAGCTTATCTTCCTATCAAAAGGCCGTTGGCTCGACAAGACAGTCGCGTCTGGATTCTATGTTTATGTTTTGCTATTGTAATCGGAATCGGTGATTTGGAGGTGGGAGCAAAAGAGAGAGGCGAAATTTGCACGCCAACCGGCAGGGCAGACAGATGTACATATAGTAGAACCCCCGACCCATTAGTCCCAGTCCCCAGTCCCCACCGATACACACACACTCACGAGCTCGACGCGTGTACCATTTGTTTAGTGAGATAAGGTGGCGTGATTTCTCAAGTTCATTGAAGTATTATTTTCATAGTTTCGGTTCCCCAGATCGCTGGATCTGCCTCCGGATTAACATGTAATCGGAGGGCGAGAACTATCCTTTTACAGCAATTACACGGGGCGGGTATTGATTTATCGATAGCCCCCACCCCCAATCGATCCATCCATCATCAGGCCATATTGCGAAAGTTGCGTCATTGGATAGGTAAACACGGGGACAAACAATACAATACCCCTCCCTTTTCCACAGGGCACTCTACATTGTTTATTTATGCACTCGGTTCTATTTTCACAGTTATCGATTGGGTCCCAAAGAGTACTCTTGTACGCGTCACCACAGGCCCGCCCCACTCATCGGATCGCCCACACCATCGAAACTCGGGTGACGCCTCAAGTTCATGAACAAAATGATAATGGGGCTGGGACTGGGCCATGGGGTGATCCCGAAACGCCCTGATAAGGCTGATAAGCCTCTGCCTACTCATACGACTGTGCACCTGGATCGGAAATGTTTGATCGCCAGTGGACGCGTGTACTTCAGGAAGCGACATCATTTGCCGATAAGGATTAGCCCAGACACTCGAAATTTTCCAATCACACGATTCTTGTTTGTTTGGCTGGGAGTGTGCGTTGTTTTTATGGGTTTCTGGGCGAGTGGCTTTTTATGCAAAGCGATCGCTGAAGTTGATAGCAGACTTTTAGCAATTCTAACGATTCTGAGAATTATATCGTTTTAGAAATTTGATTTCAGATTTAAATTTTGTAATTGGATCTTAATTTTTATAAATGTATCGTAGTTCATTGTAATTTAAAATTTAATTTTTTAGAGAAATTAGTCATATTTGTTTACAACGGCTGTAGTTATATGGTTTATGACTTCTATATAGCCATATTTCCATATTAAGAGCAATTTAAAATTTAATTTTTGAGTAACTGTCTTAATGGTTGTTTAGTTAGCATGATGATTGTAAAAATAATGCAATTGCCACACGCAACCAGGAAATGACCTACACTAATTTGTTGGATTTATCATTTTAAAGCGTTCAGTGGCTTGAAAAATTGCACTTGCATTTTAGGACACTTTTAAAAAGGACTTTTTGACGCAATCAGGATTATAATTTGTTGATTTCTGAAATTCATCACTTGGACTTGGAATATTTTTTCTGACAACGAAATCGGGGAAATGAAACTTTTGCTGCTTCTGGCTGACAATTAGACAGCGAAACCTTATCGAGAAGCCCTTTATAAAGAGTGCTCCCTGGGTCGCCAGACGGGAGAAGTCTGGGATTTCGACCTTCCCCATCACTCTATTTCGCAATTAACATGTAATTTGCCATCTGAATACAAGGAACTGCTGTTTGAGGGGGCGTTCGGAATACCACTTTGGGCCCAAGGGTCCTAAAGGTCAAACCGCAAGCGGTGTAAGCCAAGTGCAAATTTAGTAATTCGTATTTTTAGCTGACTTGGCGAATGATCACTTGATCTAACCATTTTTCTCGATTTTTTCTCCACTCTTTTCAGCTTTTTCTATAGTTTTTTCTTTAGCAATTCACTTCCAGAAAATTTCGTTTTCATTTTCTCTTTCGCACAAACACACTCGCACTGGCGTTGGCACATGGACAAGGGCGGCTGTTTTATTCCTGCGGCTGCCATTTTTTGTACATACCTAGAAATCAGGCGATTCCTCGACAGCTGTTTTTCGAGTTCCTGGAGCGGAGCGGGCGGCAGGGTCGTGGTGGATTTAAGTGGGGTGTTCCTTCACAGTTGGTCCTGACTGAGTGGGAAACCGTTATAATCCAGAAGCTTGCGGCACTCTGCTTTCGACTGAAAGTTCTCCGTTCTCCGGTTCACCGTTATACAGCTATTTTTGTTCTTTGCTTTGCAAATTACTTTGCCACACACGGTTATTTGATTTTTTGGGTTTTCAAACGTAGCGTAGCGGTTAAGACGAGCACGACAACGGCGGGCTGCTGCGACAAACGGAAATGCGAGAATCAGGTGAGCGCCGGCTTTTATATGACGCCCGCCGACGCGACGCCGCCGCCGGCAGAGAGCTTTCCGCGGCGCTGCTCTCACTCCGCTCTCCGTTTCGCTCTCTGTTGATTAACCCTTGTGGGCGACGCGATAGTAAGGTCGCTGTTATGTTATTTTATGCCCTTGCAGAGAGTACTGTAGATTAGTCCCTCTACTTGGATCCTCGACCTTTAAGAACTTATTGATAAGCATCTATATATTTACAGGAGATTTATATTATTCCGGCTCATTGCATCACTTTAACATCAAGATTAACTTTAATCTACCTGGGGGCTATACTATTTATTTTAAAAAAATTGTAGTTTAAGGTACCTAAGCTAAAAGGATTTGTTTAAAAGTCTGAGATTAGCAAAAGGACCGTTTTCCCGTCCGTATGTTAAATTTAAAGTACGCTTTAAGCCTTGAAAAAATGTGGAAATTCGAGTTATAAAGCGTACTTTAAATGTAGACCTTGAAAAAGTATGGGAATTCAGAGTTTACTTACTTTAAATCATCATATCATTAAAGGGTATGTAATCTACGGCTTACACAAGTCGGCTCTATTCCTCGCTGATCTTATTCCCTGTAAACCTCTGTTATTGTCGCTGGACTCTGTGCGGCGCTTAAATTCGCATTAACAGCGATAAGTGGTCAGCTGTTGTGTGCGTGACGGAGATGTAGAAATTTTGATTTGCCCGCCAAAGTCGGACCACTTTTTCGTCGATTATTAATCGTCTGGCGAGATCACAGGCGCGATAGTGTGGGCGGCATTATCAATTATGGAAAGGTACGCCGCGTCGAACCCAAGTCTGTGCTAGCGGGTCAATAAAGCCAGCCAGCACGGGTCAGAATGATCGGATCGTTGTGATTCATCGAGAAAATCATGCGAGTACCACGCGACTTCAGTTTGCGATTAAAATTTGAGACACAGCACGAACTTCTCTAACCTCTATCAAAACAAAAATAAAAGTAAATACTTTCCGTTACTAATTTGTAGATTTTAAAAAGTTCCAATTAAAAAAGTTCGTCTGTATTAAAGTAAGTTGATTATAATTAAGCAATCAATGCGAGATTGCTACGTGTATTCAAATGGTTAGGGGGTACATTAAGATCTACAGAAGAATTTATCGAATGATTAGGACTACAAACTACAGGTCCTCCACTAGGGACGCTTCCTCAGGACGCGTTCGATGATCTGAAGAGTGTGCGGCTCCTTGAGGAAAGTCCGATGAGTGCCCTCCACCACATGCATATCGATATGGGCACTGCAAATCTGCAAGGAATCGGAGGATAATTATAGTTCAAATCCAGATAGACCAGGGAGGAGATCCACTAACCTCCTTTAGGCCATAATCCTGGGCCATGATCGCATTGTGCTCCGCCGACTTGATCAGCACCACGTCGCTGTGGAGCTGCTTGGCGCCCTTGTAACTTTCGGAAAGCAGCAGTTTCTGTTTGAACATGCAGGCGGCCTTCTTGATCTGTTGATAAGAAATGTGTGATAATATAATGTATATTCATTTTTAAATTAAACATGTTAAATATCAATAAACCCCCAAGATCATGACTCGGCCAAATTGCCAAGAATAAGTACCATAATGTTCTAATAACTTTTTTGCCCTGCACTTTATTAAGGCACTTTTTTCCGGCAATAAAAATAAACACTTGTTCAGTTGCCCCCGGTAATGTACACTACTTGAAAAGTATTAACACACCCTTAAGTGCAGGTTTTAGTGCATCAGCTTAGTCTACAAGTATATAGTATTTTATAGATTTAACTTGATTAGCAATCAATAGATTGACATGTGCCATTACTGAGGTCTTAAGGCAAGAAAATATAAAATATATTGAGTAAAAAAAGTATGACATTCATTTGATACAGCCAAAAAAAAGTCGATAAGAAACGTAGATCGATTTCACATTATTTAAGATCAATTTTAATTTGATATGCGGCCAGGTAAATTTTGTGCGTCAGCTTAGTCTACAAGTACTATACTACTTTATAGATTTAACTTGATTAGCAATCAATAGATCGACATGTGTTATTACTGAGGAAAATATAAAATATATTGAACAAACAAGAAAGGAAGCTACCTTCGGCCAGCCGAAGCTTATATACCCTTGCAGATAAAGTAATGCTCACTCGGTGCAGTTCCAGGGATTCCAGATTCAGCGTTTCTATTTTTAAATTTTGTTTTTAAAGAGTCAAGAATTTAAACGCCTACTTCCTACAAAGTAACAATGAATTTTCTTATATATCTTTGAATATTCCTATGGGAGCCTTAAGATATAGTGGTCCGATTCGGCTCGCTCCGACATATGTACTACCTGCAATAGAAAGAAGACTTTCGGGAAAGTTTCATCGCGATATCTTTAAAACTGAGAGACTAGTTCGCATAGAAACGGACAGACGGACAGACGGACAGACGGACCGACGGACAGACGGACAGACGGACATGGCTAGATCGACTCGTCTAGTGATGCTGATCAAGACTATATATACTTTATGTGGTCGGAAACGTCTCCTTCACTGCGTTGCAAACATCTGACTGAAATTATAATACCCTCTACAAGGGTATAAAAAGTGTTACAATCATTTGATACACCCAAATATGAAACGTAGATCGATTTCACATTATTTAAGATCAATTTTAATTTGACATGCGGCCAGGTAAATTATGAACTGGTCGAAAAAAGTATTTAATGTCAAAACAATATGGTTTTTGCATGACCTAAAATGTACATGGCTATATCGATTTTACGGGAACATGCTTTTTTTTGCGTGTAGAATGCCAAATGGACCTAGTGACTTACCACTTCTCTGGTTTGCTGCGTGTGAACCGCCAGAGTGTCGGCCAGTTTGTCCAGCTTGGAGGGCCAGGACTTTACCCCATCTAGAACTTGCAGCAGCTATGAATTAGAAATAATAAAACCTTTAGTTCCAGAAGAAGGTTCAATCAAATCACCCACCTGGTTGTAGTCCACATCGGCGAGCAGGGCTCCGAAGTAGGCCAGCGTCATCGACTGCTGGCGGTTGAGGTCGTCGGTCTGCTTCTTGGCCTCCTGGACATAGCCGCTGGCCATGGTGGGTGCTCCGTCCAGCATGATGACCTTGACGCCGAGGCGACGCTGCTCCAGCGCCACCCCGATGGCGTGGGCGAGCAGGCAGCCGTAGGAGTAGCCCACGATGTGGTAGGGACCCAAAGGCTGGAGCCGCTGGATCTGGCGCAGATAGTAGGCGGCACAGGCCTCGATGGACTCGAGGGGCACCTGCTCGGTGCACTGCAGCCCGTAGGCGGGGCAGGTGAGCGACGAGGCCAGCGCCTCCACGGCTATTGTGAATCCCTCGATGGGGGCCAGGAAGAACACGGCCGGATCCTCGCTGGCCACCGGAGCCTTCGACCTTAGGCGCACCGCAACCTGCTGGGGTAATACTTCCTTGGCGAATACCTTGCGCGTCTCATCGCTCTGTGGCTGCACCTCCACGCGGGGCTCCTCCTTTGCCGAGGAGGAGGAGGAGGATTGGGTGGATGAGGAGCCTGCCTCCTGGGCATCGATCTGCCTTAGGGCACTGAAGGTCAGCTGGCGGATCTCCTGGGCACTCAGCACCAGGTCAAAGTGCCGCTCCAGCGTCTGCTTGATCTCCGTGCTCATCAGCGAGTCCATGCCCAGGTCAAAGAGGGTCGTCCTGTCCGAGACGCTCTTCACATCCCTCAAGCCCATGATGTTGGCAATGGTGGCCATCAGACTCAGCCGGTTGGCCTGCTCCGTCTTGCGCTTCTCGGCCACCACCATGGAGGCCATGACGGGATGGGGCTGCTGCAGGAACAGGTCCATCGTCTCCAGGCAGCTGTTCATCCGCTGCGGCAGGGTTCCTCCAATCACGGTATCGTTGTCGCCGAGATTCTCCAGGATCAATCCCGTGTCCCCGATGGCTCCCCACTGGATGGCGGTGCCCGGATAGCCGTACTCCTGTCGCTGCTCGCAGATCCTCTCCATGGCGGAGTTGGCCAGGCCGTAGTTGGCCTGTCCCGCGTTGCCCCGACCGCAGGACAAGCTGGAGAAGCACACAAAGTACTCCAGGGCGGGGCAGATCTGGCGGGAGATCTTGTCCAGCTGCTGGGTGGCCAGCAGCTTGGGAGCCGTGACCTTTTCAAAGTTCTTTGGGCTCTGATCCTCAATCAATCCATCGCGCAGCACCGCCGCCAGGTTGAAGATGCCCCCCACCAGTGCTAATTTATTGCTCACCTCCAGCAGCTTCTGGCAGCCCACGGCGGTGGTCACATCATTGGTATCGATCTGCACCTGGACGCCCCGTTCGTGCCAGCGACGGACCATCAGCGCCTGGTAGCCGCTCTTCACTCCGGAGCGGGAATTCAAGACCAGGAAGCGGGCTCCTCGGGAGACCAGCCAGTGAGCCAGCTCCAGGCCAAAGCCTCCCAGTCCACCCACCAGGATGTAGCTCTTCTCGGGATGCATGTAGGAGCGCGGAATGGCCTGGATGTGCCGGAGTCGCGGCAGAGAGGCCTGCTGCTCCTCCTCCAGACGCACCTTGACCACCACCTTGCCAATGTGCTTGCCGGAGGCCATGAAGCGGAAGGCCTTCTCGATCTCCTGCTCCGCAAACACAGTGGTGGGTAGAGGTTGGACAGCTCCACTCCTGATGCCCTCGCTCACCAGCTTGGCCACCATCAGCTGCATCTCCTCCTCGCCCTCCATCACGCTGTCGAGGAGGATGCCGTGGAAGGAGGTGTTCTTGAGGAACACCGACATGCCCAGTGCAGTATTCTTGCTCAAATCGAACTTGCCGATCTCCAGGAAGCGTCCGTTGAGCGCTAGGCAGCGGATGGAGGCCTGCAGCTTCTCCTCGGAGAGCGAGTTGAGCACCAGTTCCACTCCATTGCCCTGGGTTTCACTCATGACCAGTTGCTCGAAGGAGGTGTCCCGCGAGTTGCCGATATTCCTGGCCTGCAGCTTGGGGAATCGCTTCAGCAGGAACTCGCGCTTCTCCTTGCTGCCGACGGTGGTGAAGACGGTGAGTCCATGGGCGAGGGCCACCGAGATGGCCGCCTGACCCACTCCCCCAGACCCAGCGTGAATAAGGATCTTCTCACCCTCCTTCATTTGACCCCTGACCACCAAAGCGTAGTAAACAGTGGCATAGACACAGGGCACCGTGGAGGCCTGCTCCATGGTCCATTTCTCGGGAATTTCCCAGAGAAGATTCTTGTTGGCCAAACAGTTGGTGGCCAGCGACTTAGCAGTGACCATGGCCATGATGCGACGGCCACGAGAGTCCCTACCAGCGAACTCCAGCCCAAGGACGCAGTCCTGGTAGGCCAGATCCCCGGGCAGAGCATCCACTCCCAGTTTGCCCGAGGCCAGCATTACGTCCCGGAAATTCAGAGGAGCATAGTAGACGGTGCAGGGCTCCAGGTGCGATTGGCTAGGACTCGTCCGAGGACTCTCTATCCAGCGAAGCGAGGAGAGATCACCCTTGACCAGGGTGTTCACATAGGCCTGCTCCACGGGAAGCAGGGGAGCCTGGGATTCCATTATCAAGTGACGATAGCTGCCCCAGTTTCCATTCCTATAAACATTGATCGCCAGATCCTTGGCCAACTGATCGGCATAGAAGGGTTCATCCAGGGAAAACTGAGGCAGTCCCTCATCAAGGATGAGGTAGAGGCGTAGGCAGTTGCCTCCGGCTTCCCTTTTCAAACAGTTCATTAGACCCAGAGCTCCCGAATTGGGTTCACCCTGCGCCACCAGGTAGAGATTCTTCTGCTCCGCCTGGGCTTTGGCTAGGTAACTCTTGAGTTCGTTGACCCACTTGAACTGCCTGTTGGTCAGCTGAAGGGTCAGGGATTCGGTTAACTGTCCTTTAGGAGACTTCCTAACCAGCACAAGCACTCGATCTGCCCCGAGGAACTGCTCCAAAACGGGCAGCAACTTGAGTTTACTCAGCTTCTCCTTTCCTATTATATTATATCTGCTGGCGGTTTCTTCTAGGAGCAGGAAACCCGACTCCTCCTTCAGGCTATCCAAGCAGTGCTGCAGATCCTTGAGGGAGTTTTTGGCTAATATATCCACGGCGTAGACAAAATGACACTGCTGCTCCACTGCCCCAACTGAGATATCTTTAACCATCACTCGAATGCCATGCTCCTTGAGCTGCTCACTGAGTTCGGTTTCGCTGGAAGAGGAGCTAGTGACCACCGCCATGTCGGCCACCAGGATGGGTTCTCGTTCAATCAACTGAAGTAACTGCAGGGCATCCAAATTGGTCCGCCCTCCAGCCAGTTCCACACCCTTGAGCTTGACAGCTCCTCCACTGTTCTCGATCACCAGCTGAATGGCCACCGCCATAGCTGTGCTCCTCGACTTCAGCTGATCCTCCCGCTGTCCGAGGTGCTGGAAATGTGGCCAGAACCTGTAGCGCTCCAAGCTGGGTGCCGCTTGACCCCCAGATCTTCTCTGCGTCTGAGCCGTTTTCATCTTGTGGATCTCCACTCCGCCGCTCTTGACCACCGAGATGTTGCGGTGCCAGTTGACCGTCAGCTTCTGCTGGTGCTTCTTCGCCAGCTCCAGATGCTTCAGCGGATCGATCAGCGCCCTCTCGATGCCCGTGGGCACGTAGAGCTCCCGGATGTCGTTGCTCAGGATGCGGAACTGCAGCATGGTGTCCATGAAGCTGATCCAGTTGCCCGCCCACTGCAGGCGACCCGTTACCGCCGCAATATCCGTCTCGAGAATTCCCTGGGATTTTAAAGGGGTATTAAAAAATAGATTAAATACTTACACAGGTAAAAACTAAGCAATATTTTAAAGCATGGTATAGTAAAAAAAATTTTTTTAAATGGATTTTTAATTGAAAATTTTTGTTAGAGTTAATTACATAAAGAAAATTGTACGACGTTTTCTTGTAAAAACGTTTTAAAATTATAAATTAAATGATTTAAAAATCCAAAGTAAAACAAAATTTGTATGAAGCGTTTTACTTTTTAAAATGTTTCACCCCTGATTTTGCACCTAAAACTTTTGCTAATTTTCTCTGTGTACAAAAACATAATATTTAATGTTTTTGAATCAAGGTGGAAGATATTAGTTACGATGACAACAATTAATTAATGATTAACAATTTAATATTGCCATATTTCCAAGAATAAAATATTGTCATTAAATATGAAAATAATGAATTTACTAATTTTATTTTATCAGTGCATGTTTTATGCTTCTAAAAATATAATAAAATCCTTTTTTTTTAATTTTCATATTTCCAGGAATAACATATTTTCATTAAATATGAAAATAATAAATTTACTAATTTTATTTTATCAGTGTATGTTTTATGCTGCTAAAAAAATAATAATAACTTTTTTAAATTCTCTATTAAAAGCTCACCAATAAATTAATGATTAACAATTTAATATTTTCATATTTCCAGGAATAAAATAATTTTAATTATATATTAAAAAATAATCTTTTTTTAGTTCTTGATTAAAAACCCACCTGAAAAACTCCGCTGTAGTCGTAGCCCCTCAGCCGCAGCTCCTTGTAGATGTCCTTGGTGCCCAGCTTGTTGGAGCCAGCAATGCCGGGCAGCGAAGGCAGCTGGAGCTGCTCCTGCTGCACATTGGTGACCAGGCGGATCTTGCCCGAGGCCACCAGGCTGCTGCCCTCGCAGATCTCGAAGGAGCTGCTGCCGGGAAAGAAGTTGAGTGTTAGCTTCACCGCAGTGCCCACGCCAAGGATCGTGGCCCGATGGAAGACGACATCCTCGAAGAGGACGGGCGTGCGCAGGTAGTCCAGTCCCTGCTGCTGGGCGAGACTCATCCAGGCCAGGGTCATGTAGCCGGTGGCCGGGAAGAGGACCCTCCCGTCGATCGTGTGCCCCGCCAGATAGGCGTTCTCCTCCTTGCCCAAATCCAGTTCCACACTCAGCTGGCCAGCCTGGCGACCGCCCTTGAACTTGGGGTAGTTCCATTTCTGCGAGTGATCCCAGCCCACCAGGGAACCCAACATCGGAGTGCCGCGGGAAACGGGATAGCTGACGGGTGGGGAGATCCTCAGGATCTGTGGCTGTCCACCGGCGGCGAAGAGTCTGCCCAACTGGCTGAGCAGGAACTCAAAGTTGTTGGCATGTCCGCGCTGCATGAGACTCACATAGCTGATCTGGGGGCTCAGGGATCGGAGGATGGCCCGGAAGAGACCATGGGGTGCAATCTCCACTATGAGAGCATTCTGTGGGATCTTCTTGATGGCCTGGTGGAAGAGCACGGGTGAAATCAGGTTGTTGATAAAGTAACCAGCGGATGCCAGGTGGTTCTTCTCCGATTCCCAATCCTCTTCTTTCACGCTGGTGCTCAGCCAAAGCGGACTCTTCTCCCTGGGCTCCGGGATGAGTTTCTCCAGATTTCTGCGCAGCATGGGAGCTGCTCCTTCGATAAGCGGACTGTGGAAGGCATAGCCACCGGAGCCCACTTCCCTCACGAAGACTCCCTCCGCCGTGAGCTTCTCTATCATCGCATCCATGGAGTCAGGCGGTCCTGAAACTGTGCAGTTATCATCGCTGTTGTGGCACACTGGATAGCAATCCTCGGGGATGTGGGATTCGATTCGATCCCAGCTGAGACCCACGGCGGCCATCTTTCCGCGTGGCAAATCCTGAGTGTCCAGGACACTCCTGCCGCGCCAATAAGCAGCCAACACCGTTTGCTCCGCCGTCAGGCAGCCGTCCATGTAGGCTGCTCCCAGCTCACCGGCCGAGTGGCCAATGATTCCATCCGGACGGATGTCCAGCACGCGGAGGAGATCCGTCAGGGCCACCTGAACGGCGGAGACGGAGACGAAGGAGTACAACATGTTGTCGAAGGTGCGTTCCGTGGATCGCGTCAGTACGTCTATAAGATCAAAGTTCACCTTGGCCAGCACCTGGAAATAGTCAGAATTATAAGTTTAAATAATTCTTAGGGTTTATAATTCGCTAGGTAAGTTAAGAATAGTTATTATGATCAATATACAAATATTAATCATTATAGGTAGATCTTTCATCATTTGGCTTTCCATGCATTTAACAATTTAGTACAGATATTCAAAGCCTGTCTTTCACAAATAAATTTTCGTAGTTAAAACTTGTTTGCTTGGATTAGACAAGCCAAATGAACTGCTGTGAATGATGGCGATTCTTGCATTATGTTAATCAAAGATAACTAGCTTGATATATTCTCTACGATCAGTAATAATGAACTTAACAAATTTTGCAAGGTAGGTATATTTATTTTTCAAGGAGTAAACGATCTGTTTTTTGTAAAAAAAAGAAAAAAAATGGATACCAATTATTTTCATTCATAATTTATTTGTCATGACCCCACAAGGATTACTCCTTCAGGGCTCTTGAAAAAAATTCAGTTTAGACTCATTAGAGTGCTCCTCTCCACGGAAATCTTTAGTAAAAGGCGAAAGATTTATTCGACAATTGAAGAGAAGCCAGAGTAACTTTTCAACCCCATGGAAGCGGATCTCTATTCGATCAGTACGAGAACCAATTGGGAATTATAGTGATAAATAGGGATGAAAATGACCAGGGGTTACTGATGTTGAATTTGCAACTGAATATATTTTTTAAGAGAATCGCATAAATAATCTTAGACAAATAGTTTAATTGGTTTTATTATAAAAGTATCATGAAAAGTGGTCTTTCTAATAAATATTTGCTAAATGGTTTTAAAATAGTTTCAGTATACTCTTTTAGTTAATTATACTAAATGTTACTAAACTTATAGGAAAATTAAACAAAGTAGTAGAGTAGTTAGAAGCGGATAGTTAGACTAGAAAGGAGTTGATAAACTTATGCAAAAACAAATTGAAACGATCGAAATATTTAGGGTTCTTATTTCCTAATCTTATAAAGTCCTATTTAAAAAGTTTCCTTTTTCTACTTATTAGGTTAGCTATATTACAATTTATTACTTATGGCCCCAAAAGCATAAGCCTTCGGGGCACTAAAGAAAAATTCAGTTTAGACTCATTAGAGTGTCCCTCTCCACGGAAATCTTTAGTAAAAGGCGAAAGATTTATTCGACAATTGAAGAGAAACCAGAGTGACTTTACACCCCTAGGCAAGGGCCTCTACACCCGATTTGCGCTAGAACTGCTTGGGAATTGTAGGGCGGAAGACAGGAAAAAGGTATTGCCCTAAGGTGGGCTATAATTTTGTATAAGGGTCCGGCCCTTCAGGTAAAACAAATTAGGGGTGTTTAATGTTATAAGAAATCTTAAAAAGTATTAAGAAATATGTTTTAATGTTTATATAATGACTAGAAACTAGAACTGGAACTCACCTCGGCACAGTGCTCTATGGACTTTCGGAACACCTCCAGCTGCATGAGATCCTTGGCCATGCTGGCCCACTGGCTGCCCATGCCGGCGTAGACGAACCAGATGGGTCGCTCCTCCTCCTCGTAGGGCAGCACCTCCTCCTTGACGGCGCCACTGGAACCGAGGACGGCGTAGCCCCTGAACGGATGCAGGGGAATGGGATGCGAGTGGATGTCGTTGATGAGGGTGAGCAGCTCCTGATCCTGCCGCTGATCGGTGGCCACCTTGAGCAGCTGCTGCACTGCCTCCTCCGTGCGCCCGGAGCAGGTGACCAACCGCAGGGATTGCTCTGCCCTATTAACCTTCGTCTTCCCATGCGACTTGAGCACCACATGGGCATTGGCGCCGCCAAAGCCAAAGGAGTTCAGACCCACGATGCCACCCTGCCAGGGCAGATTCCTGTCCACCACTTTCAGACGTCCATCCACCAAGGCAGGCACCGAGGGATTCGGCGTGCGGTAGTGCAGATTCCTTGGTATCACACCCTCCTCCATGGCGATGATCATCTTGGCCAGGGCACTCACCCCGGAAGCGGGCTCCGCGTGGCCCATGTTGGACTTGACGGATCCAATGAGCAGCGGACTGGATCGCGACTTCCGGCAGAAGAAGTTGCTCAGCATGTTGGCCTCCTGGTCATCGCCCACGGGCGTTCCACTGCCGTGGGCCTCCACGTAGACCACCTCGTCGGGATTCAGACCGATCTCGCTGTACGTCTCCTCCAGCAGAGCCTGCTGCATGCGACCATCGGGAAAGGTCACTCCCTGCTCCTTGAACCCGTCCGTATTTGTGCGGACATTCAGGATGCTGGCATAGACCCTCTTCGCATCCTTCCTCCGCTGGAGCAGGACCACCGCACAGGTGTCCGCCCGGGCATAGCCATTGGCAGCCGCATCGAAGGTCTTGCACGAGCCGTCGTGGCTCACGATGCCCAGCCGCAGGAACTGGAGGGCAAAGATCGGTTTCAGGATGAGATTCACCCCCGCCACCAGGGCGTAGTCACAGCGACCTGCCCGCATGTCCGCGAAGGCGTGGTTCAGGGCCACCAGCGAACTGGAGCAGGCGGTGTCCACGATGAAGCTGGGTCCCTTGAAGTCGAACGTGTAGGAGATCCGATTGGCGAACATGGCACGCGCACATCCTGTCAAGCAGTAGCCATTGATGCTGCTTGGCTCCATATTGGGGATCTCGTGCTCCGTCTCCACGAAGGACAGGCCTATGTAGACGCCCGTCCGACTGCCACGCAGCTGGACGGGATTGATCCCTGCATCGATGATCGCCTCGTGGGTCAGCTCGAGCAGCATCCGCATGCAGGGGTCCATCAGCTCCGCCTGCTTCTGGTGCACGCTGAAGAACTTGTCGTCGAACTTCTCCAGATCGGAGTCCTTCATCTTGGCCATGCGCTCGGGGAGGCCATAGATGCCTTTGGGAATAAAGGTAATGTGAGGATGGGAATACATATACTTTAGACTAAAGTTAAGGGAACTTTAGATATCAGAGTAAGTATGTATTATAAAGTTTTATATATTTTAGAATAAACTTTAAGGCCATAGATGCCTTTGGGAATATAGATTATGTGAGCAAGGAAATGTTTGTAAAAATATATATACTTTAGATTAAAGTTAAGGGTTCATTGGGAACTTTATATATCACAGTATGTATATTATAAGCTTTTATATATTTTAGATTCAACTTTAGGGTTCATAGCGCATATTATATCTCAAAGTAAATACTTTTTAAGCTTTATTTTGGCATTAAAACACCATTGTTAATTTTAGGACTTAAAGACAGCAGTCCAAACCGGTTTCATATTTATTTCTCACGGCCCGGCAACAGAACGCGGCCAGGCACTAAAAAAATTGCCTCGGATAATGTGCTCATCACCTTCGCTCCATTGCGTAAGCTTTCACTCCGCAACTGAAGCGGGGATCGAGACATGATCAACCCCGGGAATCGAGGGACTCTCTGTGAAAAGTCTGCCATAACCAATTGGGAATTATATCGTCGCCCAAAGGAGATCGAGGGGACTTAAGAAACAGATTGCTTTGTTCGCTATGAGTCAGCCGATTCAAAAATTGTGCTTATTAGATGAGGGGAGATTTTAGCAGGGAGGATTTGTAGGTTCTTTTTGAAAGGAAGAATTATAAGAACATATCTCTTATTATATTATTTGTACTGGTACCAACCTGCTTCCCAGCGACGGGGCTCATCTGTGACCATATCGATGCCATTGAGCAGGTTGTACTTGAACTCCTCGATGTTACTGCTCTCCGGCAATTTACCGGATAGTCCCGAGATCACAATATCTCCATCTTCCCCCGCCGCCGCCTTCTCCGCATGGGCTTTCTTCTTGCTCGGCATTCTGGGGGCTTTGTCCTGGCTCAGTCTGTTTGAGGACCCAACTACGCAAAAATCTAAAAAACCAAAGTTTAACAAGTATCTATTATTAACATATCATAAAAAGCCCTTTAATAAAAAATTATGGTTTCATAAAAAGTCTGCCAAAACGTGCTAATAATATGCTATCAAACAAACTGATACAAATATGTTTTACGAGGTAAATTATGTTGAAAGGGGTGTCGATTACTTATCTTCTTTGAATAAATATTATAAATTAATAGTTTTTACACCCCGTTTTTAAAAACTATCCCTTGTCGGTCCTAACATCAAAGTTCGAGCTCTCTTTATTCTAATAAACAAACTGATAAGGAGAATGGAGTGAGAATTTTTGTGTTTTACACGATAAACTATACCAACATAGGCGCTGATTATGAACACGCTTTCAATTCATAAACCTTAATAAATAGTTTTTACTCTCCGGTTATAAAAACAAGGTGGGTAAGACGCTAATTACTGTTGTATTTCAAGTAACATTTAATTTTGATAGATTAAAATAAATATTCAATCATTAAAAATCATAGTTTTCGTGAATACATTATTGACCTTCACTTTTCCAAACAATTGCTATCAGCATAACAATTTTGTAAACAAGATTATTATAACATTCATGGGAATCGGTCACCTCAGGGGAAAGAATCAAAACAAGGAACATAAATAATGATTTGGCAGCCGATTTGGTAGAAATAAGTAAGTACAACGCATATAGTTGAACATACCATAGTTTAGCTGGAAGTAACTATCAATTTTGGGAAATATAAAAGTGCTAAGATATCAACCAGAAACAAGTTTCCGAGTAAATAACAAAACCTAAAGAAATAATGCATTCAATAGATTGCATTTCATATTACAGCTCTTTAATGTCGACCTTCTAATCTAAGATGCCTAGATGGGGCTTACCTATAAAAAATGCCCAATCGACAAGTTCATGAGTAATAATCACTCGATCGCAATCGATTCTCTCCACTTGACTTAATGAATTTTGTCGCCCTGCTGATAAGGAGGCACTGCAGCAGCAGTCACCTTTCCTTCCCTATCGAAGCTATGTATATGCAGGGATCGTACGATTCGCCCATTCGGCAGAATCCAAAATCGGAGGAGGGTGCCGGGAAGGGGTCACTGGGCTTCCTGTTGCCAAGTTACGGGAGGCGGCTCTCGAGATAGTCGTCCAGCTCGCGACTGCGTGCACTGCACATGGGCGGGATTGGGGGCGCAGGGGGGATAGACCCGATAAGCTCTTGATAGAACATTCCCCCCAAATGCTATGCTAACACTCGAATCAACGAATGTGGCGCGTGCCAGAACGCACACAATGGGAATTGCAAATTGAAATGAATGGTCTGGCGGGATCAAAGGTTTCTTGAATACAGATTTGAGGTGTATAGTCTCTAATAATGATAGTAGGGGCACAATTTCTTAAATTTCTTCAGATCATAACACTATTTAGATATCTTTGAAGCCATTTTTGATATTTTTTCGACATTATATCATAGGAATTGCGTTTAATGACTTTGTATTTCTTTTTTAGTAAGTTCTTAAAATCTTGAAAATTCTATAATGACCAAGTCACAGTTCTACATTTATTAAGATTTCACGTTTATTTTAAGATTGTTTTATTTTTTCCACAAAAAATAAAGTCACAGATCCTTTTAAAAGGTATCAATATTTTATTGCCTTTTTATTAAATCTGACTTGAGTTCTGAAAGAATTTATTAACTTCTTAAAATCTTGAAAATTCTATAATGACCAAGTCACAGTTCTACATTTATTAAGATTTCACGTTTATTTTAAGATTGTTTTATTTTTTCCACAAAAAATAAAGTCACAGATCCTTTTAAAAGGTATCAATATTTTATTGCCTTTTTATTAAATCTGACTTGAGTTCTGAAAGAATTTATTAACTTCTTAATATCTTGAAAATTCTATAACGACCAAGTCACAGTTCTACATTTATTAAGATTTCACGTTTATTTTAAGATTGTTTTATTTTTTTCACAAAAAATAAAGTCGAAGATCCTTTTAAAGGATATCAATATTTTATTGCACTTCTAATCTGACTTGAGTTCTTAGAGAATTCCAATATTCCATTAAAACGATTCACAATGTTGCGATTAGCACTAATTGAAACATCACACCATTTTCATTAAGTACTCGAAGAAATTCTTTGAATTAAAGATAAGTAGAATGACTAGTTAACACGTGCAACTTTGGGAATTTCTTTGTGTAGCGTGATATCCTGGAGTAGTTTAGTACGCCGTAGATTTTATAATTCCACTTATTTTTTAAAGAAAAGACAGATCGCATGTTAAAACACGCCACTCTTTATTGCACTTGACTCACATTTCGAAAGACACTAATTCGATATTCGATATTGGCTTTTGTGGTATAGTAACAATTCACTTTTCAACGGCCACCTTTCACACTTGAGTTCACTGATCGCGTATCCTTTTTGTATTCCGTTGGGCTCAACCAGGATATCGCCTGGGATTGCAGGTCCTTGCTGAAGTTATATATCCTTTTTGGTGGGCACGTATGGATCCGACTTATTCCGCAGACAGACTGAACAAGGGCTGCACTCGCCGGATTCCTTATATACACTGGGATTGCGGGGACAGGGGGCACCGGTGGCCACCAAAAGACGCATCTCATTATGACTGCGTCCAAATCGCCACCACCAGTTGCTGAATTATTCATTTTTATGCAAAAACGCCTCTAACTTCGAGCAAATCAAATAGAAAATGCGACGTCGAGCAGGACAGGTGTACCCCTATTTTTTTCCCAACACGTATGTATATTTCCCAGTGCCCCTGCCCTGGTAATTAGTCCAAGTGTGTGCCATCGCAGCTGACATCGCCTAGTTAACCCAGTTGCTCGAAAGCCCGCCCGTCTGGTTGAATAACACCCCCGGATACGGTTCACGATTTGTTTATTGCTCGGGACTCGGGATCTCACTGGGAGCTGGCTTCCTCGGGCGACGCTTCCTTTGAACAACCTTTGGTCCTGGCTTCTTTTTTCCCATCAGCTTGGCGGCTGTGGCCTTCGGCACTCGCTGCCTGATCGCCCGGCGACCCATCAGGGGCGAGATTCGGGACGCAGCGGGAACTTGGAACCTAGGGCTTCTCTTGCGGAAGTTGAAGGGCAGACGGACCTGGTGGTCGGTCAGGGATAAGATGCCCAGACTGACGCCCACTTCCAGGGCGAATTCCACCGCGCGCTCGAGGCTGCCAAAGGAACCGATGTGCTCGTCGAGGACTATATCCTTGATACTTTTCATCAGATCCTCCGTGGTGGCACCTGATGAAAAGAATTTGCATCACTTCTACGTTAATTTATATTTCTTAAAAATTATTAGAATTATCTAATGCTAACTTATAGTTAAAAACTATAAACAGTGGTTTTAATTTATAGCTATAGCAGCAAAAGGCCTTAAGCTCGCTTATTGTAGTTTGGTAGTTGTGATTATTATTTTTACTATATTATACAGATTATTTCTTTAAAATATTATGTCTTATTTCTAACATAGATCAGTTAATATTTCTTATCGTTTATTCCTAAAGGTTCTAAAGTCTCCTAAAGTAACTCACATAGTTGCGGCTGCCTACTGAGCATGTCCATTATATAAGGTAGCAAAGAAGAGTTAGTCTTATCCATTGTAAATTTTGATTTACTTAAAAAAAAAAACTTGATGATTTTGGTAGGTTTTTTCCGGAAGTATTAAAATTGTATTCCTTCTCGTCTAGAGAACTAATGTTGAATGAGAATTTGACAAAGGCCCTGTCAAGGCCTTTTGGGTTTGAAATATTTCCAGAACACCTCGCATCCTTGATCGAAGGCACTTAAATGTCAGACAGATTATTCGATTTCCCTCTTTCACTGCTTAAAATACCAAATTAAATCTAATTAATACACTAGACAAAATAAATGCGTATTAACGAGACCCAATTCCTGTTAATCAGATGCAAATAATTTCCAAAAAAATGCCATTGGCTTGCTCCAATTTCGATCAAAGCATTAGTTTCGTTTAATCAACTGCAGAGATGGGGCCATAAACCATATTATATTTATCTTTCTATTTTTGACATTTTTATTGCATTAAGAAAATGGCATGGGAAAAGCAATTGTAAAGACTTCGACATAATAATATTATCAAGTATATACAAAATAGCAACCACTTAATGGATGACACATAATATGCTATAATACGCTGCTTACATATCGCAAGTACTTCGGTTTGTTACTGCCTTGACAATTTTTCCCAATAATAGCTAATTTCATTCAGACATCAGATAAGCGCTGGGATTTCAAGGCCTTCAGAAAGCTCAGTCAATAAAAAATTTTCCCTCAGCTAAGAGATTACACGCAGTTAGGGTATAGCGAATATTAGGGGAAATTCGGAACTCATAATGGATCCTAAATTTATAATACTTTAAACTATTCTCTTACTTTGCAAAAGGTAAGTATTTTAAATACTAAATACATACATATCTAGTTAGCTAGTGAACATTTATAAGGGTATTCCTATACCGGCTAGCAACAAGAAAGCTAATTCCGATCATATCAAGAGTGACGGGCCCGGTAACAAATTGAGAGCTATTAATAAAAACCAAAACAAAACAGAGACGCGTGCATTCTTCGCTTTTTTCGCCGGCATTGTCGGATGATAGCGGCGATGGAGAGGCTTTTTCGTTGGCTTTTGGAAAGCCTCGACCTTGGCGATAGCGAGCTGGTCATGTTCCGATGCTCCGGAGCGTTGCGAACGCATGTGAACGATGTGATTAGAGCGGGCAGGCCGCGTGCTGCGGAATCGCCCCGCCGACCACTCAACGTCTGATAACGAATCTGGGTATTGGCCGATCCGATGATGGGGCAGCTAGCCAGCCAGGCGATGGAATAAATTTAGACGCACGGAAATTTTCGCAGACCGATGGCGTGTGTCGTGCCTCGTCAACATGGGTCCCAGAATAGTTTAACGATGGGCGCACGCCTTAGTATGCTGGCCAAAGCTGAATCACTTGAGCTGCAGCTACCTGACCGATCAATTGCCCTTCAGGCGGACGCCTCCGATCCACGGATGATAAGAGCAGCTTTTCACGGTGATTTAAAGGTGATCCTGGTCGCACGTCAGTCCTCCAATCGCCAAGATCCGCGCTTAGTTTATATAGTAAAGATCAATATGCGTCAGTAGCTCGGCCTGAAATTACACCATTTGAACCGTAATCAAGCAGCTCTGATGCAATTCAATGGGCTCCAAGTTGTGCTGTTTCACAAAGTAGTTCGCTGTAGTGTTTTAATTAACCAACACAAGTCTTTAATGGAACACAAACAACAATATCAGTCAGTCATTCGCTCAGAGCTTCACCACTATCTTGCCCCGCAAGTGTCCGCCTTTCATCTTCTTAAAGGCCTTAGGCAGATCAGCGAACCCGTAGCTGCTATCGATCAGAGGCATCAGCTAAGAGGGCAGGAGAGGATTAGTCTGGAGAAAAGTTTGGAAGAACAGTACATACCTTTCGTTGCTCCACCAGTTTCTGCAGGAACTGAATGCCCTGGGGAGCGGGACTGAAGAAGCCCCACTTCACAAGACCTCCGCGCTGCGAGACGGACTTCAGGTTGGTCTGGACCAGGTCAAACACATTCTTCAGCGCTCCCAGTCCCAGTCCCTGCTTGTCAATGTTGGCCAGCAATGGGGAAGAGAAGGTGATGTACTGCCGGAAATCGAACTTTGACTCCGCCGCCTTCTGGCCTCCTTGACCGGCACAGTCGAGTACGATGTCGTAGGGTGCGTACTTGCACAGCTCCTCCAAGGCCTCGCTGTTGTTGTAGTCCACAACGAAGTCGGCACCCAGATTGCGCACCATTTCTACGGCATTTTCACTGCATGTAGCTAGAACCTGGACTTTTTGCGACTTGAGGATTTGAATCGCTAAAGTGCCAACGCCACCGGAGCCGCCCAGCACTAGGACACGCTTGTGGGCACCTCCGCCGGCAGCTGTGGTGGCTCCACAAGGTCCTCCTAGACCTCCGGTTATGTAAAGACCAGACCAGGCAGTCAATCCGGCGTACAACACACTGGCGGCCTCGCAGTCATCCAGTTCTTTGGGGGCAGGAGCGAGCTATGGGTTACGGATTAGTTTCAAGATCTTTGGGATACTGTAACTACTTACACAGTATGAAGGAACTGCTACATACTCAGCATGGGCTCCTCCGCTGGCCTGCAGAGGCACCACTCCCCAAACACGCGATCCCAGGGGCAGTGAAACACCCATGCCCGTCTGCACCAGCTCGCCGCAGAACTCGCGGCCCAGGATGAGCGGGAACTCGATGCCGTCGCCCGGCTGGCAGCGCATCTTGTTCAGCACAGTGGCCCCGTATCCGCGGAGCATGGCCAGGTCAATGGGATTCACTGCCGTCGCACTGATCCTCACCAGGCACTCGTTGGAGTTGCGGATCTGGGGGATCTTCAGCTTGTCGGAGAGCTGCAGTTCATCTATATCGCCGTAATTGTGCAGCTGCCATCCGCGCATTTTGTTCGCGGATTTCGTGGTGGCTGGCGGCAATTCCGGGTCATTTGTTTGGGAGCCGGAAAGTGCGGATTGCGCTGTGGCGGAAAACTGGCGCCTGGCGAGCAGGACAAACTGCCTCAGGGAGAGGATGGAATTAAAGCCAGCAGCCTGCATGGCCGGTATTGGATTTAAAAAATCACTTGACTTTAAAATTAAACAATTGTTTTAAGAAAATCTGTTTGTTTTGGTTTTAGGAACAGCTGGGAAAACAGCTGATAGCTGTTATGTCAAAAATCATCGCGAAAAAAATCGATAGTTTATTGATTACAAAAGCTATCGACCGTTAAATGCCTTTCAATTATTTAAAATAACTCCTCGTATTTTGTAAAATATTAATGAAACAATATTTTCGAAAATATTAAAATTGTGTGCTTTTTGAAATGATTTTTTTGATTTTCTAAAATATTAATGAAATCAGTTACCTTTAATTTTGTGTACTTTTTGAAAGGATTCCTCTTATTTTCTAAAATATCAATAAAATCACTTAACTTTAACATTTTGAACTTTTTTAAATGATTCCTCTTATTTTTTAAAATATTAATGAAAATATATACTAATAAAAAACACTTTACTTTAATATTATTTACTTTTTATTTATTCCATTACTTTGTTGTTATTAAGATTTATAAGCATGTCACTGCACTTAAAATTCATTCCAGTGTTTGATTTAGTTTGATCGCATGTATAAAGTCTAACAGTATAGTTGACAGTCTTAGTTGCTTTATGGCTTATAATATTAGTTCCTATTAACGCGAAATAACGCCGCCACTTTGGTTTAAAAGATCCTGAAGGTCAAATTCCTCATCATCGCCCTCCTCAAGTATTTTGGGGTCCTTTGGTTTTCCGTGGGTCTCAGCCTGATCCCCACCAGCCGGCGTTTTGCCCGGGTGGTGTTTACTACAGGGTTCGCAGCTACAGCCCGTGGGCACCTCCAGCGAATGATCCAATTGACTGCCATCGCCACATGTGACCTTCACCAGGAGCTTGCTTAATCCTGTGGCGGCACAACAACTACATCTATCCTCGTACTTATTCAGCAGGGGATTGTACTTGAAGGCCGAGTTGCAGGCGCCCTCGCACTGGGTGAGTCCCTGAATGGGTTGATCGTTGTGGCACATTCCATGCTCCTGACTCTGGAACCTGATCAGGTTCAGGGTGAGTCTGGGGGCCACCGTGACTGCCTGGCAATCGACCTTGTTCACCGGCGGCGGTGGGATCCTGCAGCGCCTGCAACAGCCTCCGTCATCCTGGAGATGCTCCGCTGGGCAGAGGCTCACATCCGGACACGTTTCGTGCAGCTCGTGGATGATGAGTTGCCCCTGGCGTGGAATACACGAGTAGATGGTGCATTTGTCCGCACTTGTCCACGTCTCATCCGGCTTGTAAACCCTTCCATTGTGGACACAGCCCGTGGGCACACAGGATCCACAGCATTTGGCGCTGTTCGTGTGCTCGTAGGTGAATCCCAGTGGGCACTTCTTCTCGCAGGTCAGCACCGTGGTCACGGTGACCACCACTTGGTCCGTGAGCACACATTCGTAGGCGACGCAGGGATCGTCGGGCAACTGCCACTTGTCTCCAGGTCGATGCACTTGCACCTGGTCGATGTGCCTGTGGAGACACCTGTCCTTTGGAGGCACGCACCTGTACACCGCACAGCAATCACCGGGCTGCTTCTCCGAGATTAGTTCGTAGTGCTGCTCATCACAGGTGGCCGGTGGCTTCGGACAAGTCTCCTGGTGGCATATCACCCTGTAACTGGGACAGCATCCGTCCACTATCTCCTCCAATTTCTCGCCAGGCTTTAGAGTCAGCGGTGGCGTCGGTTCACATTGATCCCTGGGTTTGCATTCTAGAAAAGGTATTAAAAAGATTAGAAAAGGAATCAATTATAAAGGGAATTAATACTAAAATATCATCATAATATCATCATAATATCGTAATAATGATAATAATACTATATTCTTTAAGATCATCATAATATTATCATAATACCATCATAAAATCATCATAATATCATTATAATATATTCTTTAAGATCATCATAATATCATCATAATATTATCATAATATCATCATAATATCATCATAATATCATCATAATATCACCATAATATCATCATAACATCATCATAATATCAATATAATATCATCATTATATCATCATAACATCATCATAATATCATCATCATACTATATTCTTTAATATCATTATAATATCATCATAACATTATCATAACATCATCATAATATCATCATATCATCATCATAATATCATCACAATATTATCATAACATCATAATATTATCATAATATCATCACAATATAATCATAGTATCATCACAATATCATCATAATATCAATATACTATATTCCTTAAGATCATCATAACATCATCATAATATCATCATAATATCATCATAATATCATCATAATATCATCATAACATCATCATAACATCATCATAATATCATCATAATATCTTCATATTATATTATTAAAGACCTTAGGAGAAACTCACCGCATCTGTAGATGGAGCATCCGTGCACATCCTCGTCCACGATCCGCACCTGATGTGGTCCGCAGTCGGGCAGCTTGGGCGTCTCGCAGATTTGTCCTGGCTTCCCGGTGTCCGGCACGCAGATGCGGGTGGGGCAGCACTCGAAGTCGCGCTGCAGGATCATCAGCTTGTAGCCCTTCTGGCAGATGTGGTCGGTGTCACGGCCGCACTGCTCCTTCTCGCAGCTCACCTGGCCACTGGCCAGGCACTCGCACCTGGAGCACTTATCCGGCTGCCACACGTCGCCCACATGTCGTCCATCGCCGCAGGTCACGCACTCGTTGGGCGACACACACCTGCCGTGATGGAGCACCTTGTCCGGCGGACAGAAGCAGCCCTCGTGGCGGGCCGTGTGCAAGCAGCGACCCTTGAAGATGACCTCCAGGTTGCTCCGATCCACCCGATCGATGCCCGTCTCGCAGGACACGTCGCAATCGCACGGCTTGTAGGCCATTCCGGGCAGGCAGTTCGCCGGGCACTGGGTGAAGGGTCGCCAGTCGGTGCAGACGCCCACCTGGTTGCAGGCAGCCGCGTAGGCAGTCAGGGTAGCACAGACCACCTCCTTGTCATCGCTGGCCGTGCACGAATCCTTCTGACAGGCCACGATGAAGGCCAAGGGATCCACCAGCAGAGGACAGCGTCCGAAGATTCCCGACTGCACGATCAGTTGGTAACAGACATTCCTTTCCCGCGGCAACGGCTTGCACACCTGCTGATTCCGGCAGGATCGGGTGTCGATGCCCAGACGTGGCTCATCCACCTGCCAGCTGGTCACGAAGTCAACCAGGTCGAAGGGTCGTGGCTCTGCCGGCTTGGGCTTGGCCGGATTAACCTGCAGGTCATCCAAGCTCAGGCCATTGCAGTTGCCGCACAATCCCTCCATGCGACTTCCATAGCGAACCGAGGGCACAGTTAACTGAAATTAAAGAAGACATTGGGATTTAATTTGAGGTCATATGTATATCATTTCATATATTGCTATAAAAAAAGATGGTTCCTTTTTTAAATATCTTGGATGGTACAAAACGAATCAAATTACATTTGAAAAACGTTTACTTCTGAAATTCTATTCGCCTTTTTATTATTTCTTTTGTTCTATGAAAACTGTGCAAACTTACGAAACCAATAATATATGGAAGTTACGAAGATTAGTACTTATTTGAAAGTGCAAGATTCGGTCCGCAGAGATAAAAATAACGAATTAAAACTAGTCAATAAGCGATAAGTTTCCATAAACTCTCTAACTTATAGACTCTCGAATGAGTTATTGCTTTCACAGCAGATATGTAGTTCTATAAAAGAGTGGCACAACTTTCAGTTTAGACATCGGGAACTTTACTAAAACCAAGTTATAATGTTCTTCAAGTTTATAGTTTCTATATCGATTGTCGTCCTGGTTTCTGCTGCTCGGATTCCTGGGCCAGAGGAAAGAATTGTGGGAGGCCACTATATACCCATCGAATATGTTCCCTGGCAAGTGTCGCTGATAAATGATACGAATCACAACTGCGGTGGTGTCATTCATAGCGATCGGGCTATTCTAACTGCTGCTCACTGCCTAAGTAATGTAAGAACTGAGAACTTATTAGTTCGCGCTGGATCCTCGCATTGGAGAAAAGGCGGTCAGTTGGTGAAGGTTCTAAAAGCCATACCCCATGAGCAATACTGTCCTTCCCTTCAATCTAACGACGTTGCTGTGCTGATTTTGGAGTCACCCCTTAAGTTCAACAGGAAGGTACAAAAAATAGATCTAGCTGAAGAAACTCCTCAAGATGAAACTATGACCTTGGTCTCAGGATGGGGCCGTACACAAGCAAACGCTACATACAGTTGGCCAATACTACAAGGCGTCCATGTGGCTTTACTTGATCCCACAAAATGTAAGGAAGTTTATGGTAAGGACGTTATTTGTGCCGACAATCTTGGAAGGGGCATATGTAGTGGCGATTCTGGCGGTCCTTTGGTTAACTTAAAAGATCGGAAGCTTATTGGACTAGTTTCCTGGGGATATGGCGGCTGTGCCCGCCGAAACCCTGGAATTTATGCTGATGTAGCTTTCTTCCGAAACTGGTTCAATAAGACAATTAATGAAAATATTCAGTCAATCACCAGCGATTGTAAGAAATAAAAAAAAAAATCGAATATTTAAATATAAATATGCACATATAAAAAACAAATATGAAAAGTTGTTTGATTTTTAAACTAATATTATATTTCGATTATAATCGAAGTTAGAAAATCTCCGAGAGAGAGAATCCGGCAAAATGATATTATTTAATATCAATTTTATGAATATTTCATGTGCATAATATCAGTGAGAAATTGAGTTGTGCAAACTTTCAACATGTAAAAATTGTACTAGTTGGAAATATAAATAGGGTTTTATTAAAATCGCATAAAAAATAAGATATCTTGGAAATGGTAATACGGAACAAAAATGTTTCTTCGGGTAAGTTAAGTTGGTTATGAGATGGACTATTTTGAATGGCTAAGTTTATTTTGTAGCATGAAGAAGACTTCAAAAACCTCGATAAAAATGTCAAATTATAAAAATTCATGTTTTTTGGACAACAAAAAATTTAAGAAAATATTTTCCTAATTCCCCTAGAACACATTTAAAAACGAGTAAAGTTGTACGTTGTTCCTCTAAACCGTTCCCGAGATATACTAATTTCTTAAGTTCTTAACTTCAAAGTTTATAGCGCCCCTAAATGGACAACAAAATAAATAAAATCACAGATGATAACCATGGCAAACTCTACAAGGTACATGAGTTTGAAGAAAATCCTTTTTATCATATGCGCACTTTAGAAATTCTTACCATGCTATAAAATGAGACATCTCTTTCTAAATTTTTTTAATGTGTTGGACTTTCAAAAGAGAAAGAATAATACATATATTTAAAGGAAAATTAAAAATAATATTTTATGTGCTATGAAAACTTACAAAACTTAGCCAAAGAAAAACTATTATACAAGAAAATTATAAAGGCTATCATAACTAATTATAAAAGTAAGTAAGTAAGTAAAAGTAAGTATAGATAAAAGTAACGAACCAAGACTAGTCAATAAGCGATAAGTTCCCATAAACTCACTAACTTATTGACTCTGGAATGAGTTATTGCTTTCACAGCAGATATGTCGTTCTATAAAAGAGTGGCACAACATTCAGTTTAGACATCGGGAACTTGATTAGGACCAAGCTAAAATGTTCTTCAAGTTTATAGTTTCTATATCGATTGTAGTCCTGGTTTCTGCTGCTGGGATTCCTGGGCCAGAGGAAAGAATTGTCGGAGGCCACTATATACTCATCGAAGATGTTCCCTGGCAAGTGTCGCTAATAAATGGTAGGGAACACCACTGCGGTGGGGTTATTCATAGCGATCGGGTTATTCTAACTGCTGCTCACTGCCTACGAAATGTAACAACTGAGAATTTATCAGTTCACGCTGGATCTATGCTGTGGAGAAAAGGTGGTCAGTTGGTAAAGGTTCTGAAAGCCATACCCCATGAGCAATACTGCCCTGTTTCTGGTTCTTCTAACGACGTTGCTGTGCTGATTTTGGAGTCACCCCTTAAGTTCAACAGTAAGGTACAGAGAATACCTCTAGCTGAAGAAACTCCTCAAGTTGGAACTATGACCTTGCTCTCAGGATGGGGCGATACACAAAAAGGCTATGTAAACGGGCCATTACTACAAGGCGTTAATCTAGTTTTACTTGATTCCACTGACTGCAAAGAAGTTCATGGTAAGGACGTGATTTGTGCCTACAATATTGGAAGTGGCCCTTGTAATCGCGATTCCGGTGGTCCTTTGGTTACCTTTAAAGATCGAAAGCTTATTGGACTAGTTATGGGGGCATATGGTGGCTGTGCCCTCCGAAACCCTGGAATTTATGCTGATGTAGCTTTCTTCCGAAACTGGTTCAATAAGACAATTAATGAAAATATTCAGTCAATTAATGGAACTGTTGAGTCAATCACCATCGATTGTGAGGAATTTTAAAATTAAAATGGCTATAAAATGTATATTAAAAATGCACATAAATAAAAAAAGAAGTCTCTTATAAAAAAAAAGTTATGCGATTTGAAACAAAATTGTAGGTACCTATTTAAAAAAAAATACATCTTTGTTTTATTAAGCCTTGTTTCATTATTTGAATTTCGCAGATATCTTTTAGAAGAACTTTGTCAGAGAATGTCTTAAATTTTTTAAAAATGTTGGATTTCATAGGAAATTGGTAATTGTTAGATATAATTACACCGTATACAAAAATAGTATTTTTAAAATACTTTAACTTGAATTAGTATTTTACTGCTCACCTGGAATTGAAGAGTGTTTAGGTTAATCACCAGCTCCAGTTTAACCTGGGGTAGCTGCACTATCAGATCCTGCTCCCCCGGCTGGTTGATTCTCAGCCAGGGCGACTGGTGGGGCCACAGGAACACCTGGTAGCCATCGGCCAGTAGCTTCACTTCGTTCCCATGTCGCTCGATGTGCAGAGTGTGTTCACCGGCGGTAATCCGGATGGCGGACACGCAGCTCTGCTCTTTGGTCAGGCCACATGGTTCAATGGTGGCGTACACCTGGAAGTTATAGCTTCCCGGGAGCAGGAGATCCCTGGTCACCAGATATGTGCAATTGCCCTTGAAACTGAAGCTGCTGCCATCGTAGGTGACGAATTTATTAAAACCAAACAGACTGCACTTGCAGTCCTTGCAATCGTCCAGGGAAACGCACTCCTCGCCACGACGGACAGTGCCCTCGGGACAATAGCAGCCGGAGTAGCAGGTGTTCGGAATGGTGGGACACACGGAGGCCGAGTGGCTCCTGGGCAGGGCGCACTGTGGCTCACACCGCTGGCGGTGACAGTCGTGGTGCACCAACGGAGGTCGACAGGTGGGCTCACAGCGGTGGATGCTCCTCCAGCTGGTCAGCAGGAGATTCCGATTCACCGCCAGGCACTGACCCACGAATTGCTGGAGGAGATCACAGCGACAGGTGCCCTCGGCTCCGCCGTTCGTCTTCAGGCACTCGCAGGTTGTCTCCACGCACTTGGCCAGGAAGTCCTCGACATCGATGGATAAGCCACAGCCTCCAAATGAGGGATGTCTAAGGGATAAAGAGGTGATAAGGTAATCCAGGATATCATAATGAAACAAGAGAGAACGATATAGTCGGGCTGGTGTCCCGACTATCTAATACCCGTCACTCAGCTAAAGGGAGTGCAAGGAAGATGGATATATACAATTTTTTTTTTAATTGCGCATAACTTTTTAATGAATAGACCGATTTGAAAAATCTTCTACATTTCGATAGGTATAAAAGTACACAAAAAAATTGCATTTAAACTTCTCGGAAATCTTTAAAGGTGTAGTCGCCCGGCACATTTTAAAATCGTTAGTGGGCGATTGTGGGAGTTAGAGGGGGCGTGGCGCTCAGCTGAATTAAACATGCGCAGCGTAGGAAGCCTAGGAATATGTGTGGGAAATTTCAACCTTCTAGCTTTTGTAGTTTCGGAGATCTCAGCGTTTATACAGACAGACAGACATGGTCTTTATAGGGTCGGAAACGCTTTCTTCTCCGTTACATACTTTTTACTCTACGAGTAACGGGAATAAAGACTCACCTCACAGCCTGACACATTTGCAGTGCCCTTTGCTGTAGATCCACAGGACACACCTGCGGATGGCACTTATCAAGTGGAAGCTTCCTGTCGTACCAGGAGTCGCCAAAATCGGAGGTGCTAATCACATGCAGACCCGTCCTCGTGCGCTTATCATCGTCCAGCTGGCCATTGTAGAAGCCACACAACCCGTCTACCCTCCCCTGGAGCACTTGGGAAGCTCCGATCCTGATGTTACCACTGGCGGCATACTGAACCCAGAATTTGTGACGGCGACTCACCACGACCACGGTGCCGCCCATCTGGCTGATGACGAAGGAACGGCGAACCGACCTGACCAGCGCCAGATCGTGGACACTGAACTCAAAGTTGTTGTAGATCACCCGCTGATTGGGCAGGATGGTTATGGTCACTCCCTCCTCCTCGTCGCTGATGATCACGGTTTTGGCACCGCAACTTGGCTGATCGGGAGCACACTGCAGTTGACTGCTGATCGTCCAACGGCTGTCCTGCGAATCCCTCGCCAAAATATGACTACATATGTCGTACTTGTAGACCGTTCCATCGAAGGTCCGGAAGATCCGTCCAGTGATGTCACAGGTATCATCCGGAACTCTGGGACGCCGGCAAGTGAAAGTGGGACACCTTCCAGTTCCCAGACTAGCCGTATCCAAAACTGGTTCAAAGCCCACGGGACACTGGGGATCCTCGCAGGTCACATTCCTCTGGGGAATACAACAGAAGGCGTCGCATAGCTCAAAGTCCTGGGGATCCTTCACCCTAATGATTCCTCTGCGTTGGTAAAAATTCCTTATTCCGGAGGTCAGTTGGAAGTCTTGTCCATATGGACTACCATTCACCACACCAGCTCCATTCAGCACAAACTGGGTTTCAGCGTCCAGCGATTCATCTCCTCCATTATCGGATAAATTGAGATTTTCCTGTTGCACAATGCCCATAAGACTCAGTAGGTCATTGATTTCATCCTGATCCGTTTCGTAGTCATTTTCGTCATCAGCCAGGAACTCATCCCAATCCCCAGAGAAGTCGGGAATTTCGCTGGGCTCAACGCCCAGAAAGTCGAGCAGTTCATTGATATCATCATGATCAGAGGTCGAGAGCTCCAGTTGAGGTTTAACCGGAAGCAAAGGCAGCTCATTGAACTCCAGGCGTTCGAGGGTCAAGGTTTTCGACTTCTTCTTCGCCGTCAGCTCATCGATTTTTTCCGCCACCTTTTCGCCGAATTTCTCGATAATAACGTCCCTAATTGCACTTCCCATCTTGGAACCCAGTTTCTTAACCACCTTCCACAGTTTGGGTCCAAATTTGGCTACCAGTCTTCCACCGAACCTAAGGGCAGCTCCAGCAATTTCTGGCTGCTCCGAGGATTTCAATGGCTCTAGCCAATCCTTCAGCGGGTCCAAGGAACCATCCTCCGTGGGATCTTCGGAAATTAAAAGCATTTGGGAGAAGGCTATGGGTAGTTTGCCCCTGATCTTCACAGTGTAACCAGGTGGGCACTCGATGGGTGGACACACCAGAGGTTTTCTAGTGGTGGCTAAAAAAGGAGAATTTGATGTGATATTATAAGATGATATTATATGATAGTAAGAGGAAATTTAATATCTTTACGTGGCTGTAGAGTGGTATGTGTGGGATCGCAGGTCTCGTCTTCGTCATCGGCACAATTCTGGACTCCATTGCACCACCACTCGGAGGGGATGCAATCTCCGCTGGTGGGACAAAGACGAGTGGTTGGCGGGCACAGCTGGCACTCGCAGCGACAACCCTTCCGGACATTCCTCATGTGATCAGGACATTTCGGGCAATTCGTTGTCTTACAGTTGATTACGCCGCCCAAGAGGCAGACGCACTCCTCGCAGTCGGAGTTCTCCCATTTAGATCCAATGGGATAGCTGTAAAGGAAGTAGGTTATTAGGGAATCCCTGAGAAATGATTATATTATATTACGGGGTATAGATGTCCAGGCAGGGACAGAGATTGCGCTCCACGCACTTGGATCCCGTCCAGAAAAGACCATCGACGCAAGGACACCTGGTTATGGTCCTATTTAACTCGATGCCCTCGCACAGATTGCACACTTGAGTTGGTGGAGGCCTCCTCTGGGTGTCATTAGCTGCAGGGATAACCAATTAAGACTAACCATAATCACCAGAACAGAATCTCTTCTTACGATAAGGCTCGAAACATCCAATGGGTTCAATCCTCCAGTTAATGTTCTGATCCCACGACGTGGGCACCAAACGCAGATGACGTGTCACCAGTGGCCGGGGAAATCCATTTGTACGGATGCTATGACCGTCCTGGTTGCCCTCGAATATGTGACCATCTCCCTGCGGACCCGGCAGCTCGTTCCACACCAACTTGTTCGAGGAGAAGAGCACGCGGAACGAGGTGACCCATCCGTAGGCTCCTCCAAGTGTCTGAATTGCGGTCACATTGCGAGGCTCAAGGAAGTCAAAATCAACGAATTCGTCCTGCTTATTAGCCAGTGGTCGCCATCCCAACTTGGATCGGAATCGGAGGAGATCCAAGAGTCCCTTATCGCTGTCCAGCTGTGAGGAAAGCCAGATGCTGCTGGAGGAAACCTGATGAGCCTGCAGAGCTCCACTGTCCACGCCCAGAGGATCCTTGCAAATCAGATCATCGATCGGCGGACGCGTGGGCGGAAGGGGTGTGGTCCTGTCTGGTGACGGAGGCGTGGTGGTGGGCACATGGTTACACAGCAACAGGTCAAATCTTATGGCAATGGAGTTGTGCCACCTGAGAGGATACAGCCGCACGGACTTGGCCTCAATTGGTCGCTGGAAGACATGAGCTCTCGGCAGGCGAGAGTCTTTGGGACCCAACAGCACTTGTGGCTCTCCATCCTGGCCAATCAGTTCGTGGTACCCCTCGCCATCCAGGCTGTAGACCAACTTCAAAAGGGTCACATAGTGGTCCAGGTGCGGATCTCCAGCGATGAGTAGTCCGTAAAAACCGAGTGGGCGCTCAAAGTTCACCTGCAGATACTGCGTCTGATCGCTGATCCTAGGCGTCCAGGCGCCGACATTCAGCTTGGGTTTGCGGTGCAGACGGGAATGATGAGCTGCGTAGTTACTATCCAGGGTGCTTGAGCCGGAGAATGCCGAATCAGGCACAGGATGCTCACTCGTAAACAGGCGCACCATGCTGTGGATAAAAAATAAATCGCATTTTAAAACAAGAGAGAACGCTATAGTGCCCCGACTATCAGATACCCAATACTCAGCTACTCTGGGAGATATACAACTTTAATCGGCCATAACTTTTTAACGAATGGTCTGATTTGTTAAATTTCTTCTACATTTCGATAGGTATTTATAAACATTATAAAACTGAATTTTTACTTTTCCGAAATCTTTTAAGGTGTGGGCGCCAGACACCTTTAAAAATCGTTTATCGGATTATGAATAATAGGGCTATTAAGCCAACTTACCTATTCGTTGGACACAAAGTAGGTGGTGTTAGAGTTGTCGGTATGGTGGGCGGAGTAGTGGTGGTACGACCTCCAATAGGTGCTGAAATAAGAGTAAATTAAGCGCAATGTTCGAGAAACTTGACCAATTACTTACGGAACTCTGTGGTGGTTATCCTGGGGACGCACACAAACTGATTGAAAACACACTGGCAGTCATCGAGATCCGTGGTGATGATCCTGTGCGGCTGCACGTACTTATCATTGCGATCGTCCAGGCATGGGCAATCATCTTGATCCACACAGGTATCCTCGTCGCGCCAGAGTTTCCCCAGGCTCCTACAATCCGGACGCTTCTTGGGCACACATCCTGCCCTGCAGTGCTCCCCTGGTTTGCAGAGGCCCCGCCGGAGCAACTGCTGTCCGTAGAAGTGACACGTGTGCTCACACTGATTGGCGCACTCGTTCCACTCCTCGTCATCCCGGCAGCGATCCTTGTTCTTTCCACATTGCGGTTTCAATCGGGTTACTGTAGCAACATGATCGCAGGCGCCGATCACCGGATTGTACATCATGTGGGCGCCACAGGATCCGGGCACCCAGTGCCAGTTGCTGTTGCCCGGAATGTGCTCGCAGCGCAAATATTTAAAGCAATCTCCTGGATACTCCTTGAAGATCTGCAGCGAGGGATCGCACTTTTCACCCGGTGGAGGAGGTGGTGGAGGTCTAGATGTGGTGATATCGTAATCCTCGCACTCGCAGTAAACCCGAATCTCGTAGTCATGGCACTTGCCCACGCAAACCAAACCCCGGCTTAGATCACAGGATACATTGTCATCCACCAGTTCGTAGGATTGCTTGGTATCCTTCACCCGACACTCGATGTCCTTCTGGAACCTCCGATCGCAGGTGCCGTAGATGTTCTCGAAGGCATCGAAATTGGGCAGTGGCTCCAGATCGTTCAGGTTTATTCCGCCCAAGCTGGATCCCCGATCCAACCAGCGTGTCCAGCCGTTAACACAGTACTTTCCAAAGGGATCTTTTGGATCTTCGGTTCCCGTAGTCGGTGGCTTCACTGTAGTGGTGGTCGGTGGACAGGGCTTTCCACTGCACACCTCCTTCTTCTTGGAGCAACGACAGGTGGCACATTCGTCCGTGTAGGTTATGTCGCCCTCGAAGTAAGTGATGTCATTCCTCACCAGACACACCGGTTTGCAGTCCGTCCGGGGAACGCAGGTGGAGTAGCTGTCGTTGAGGTAGATGTGGTTCAATGGACACGGCTTCACCTGGCAGCCCTCCACGCAGTTTTCGTGGTGACACAACCGAGCGGCGTCACCCTGGTCGAGCAGATTGTCGCAAGTCTCCGGCGGACAAGCCGGCGTACAGGCACTGTAATCCGAACAGTGGGTGTCGCATTGCATGGCTGTGGATTAAATACCCGGGTTAAAGGGAGTTCGAGGGAAATGGAGATATACAACTTTGATCGGGCATATCTTTTTAACGAATGGTCCGATTTACAAAATTTCTGCTACATTTCGATAGGTATAAATAAACACAACAAAATTTCATTTATACTTCTCCGACATCTTTAAAAATGGGGACGCCAGACATATTTCAAAATCGTTTGTGGGCGTCAGAGGGGGCGTGGCCCTGGGCTGAAATAAACTTGCGCTGCATAGGAAGCCCGAGAATATCTGTGGGTAATCCCAGCTTTCTAGCTTTTGTAGTTTCCGAGATCTCAGCGTTCATACGGACAGACTGACAGACGGACAGACAGACGGACATGGCTATTATAATGAATCTACACCCAAATGATCTCTTCTACTTACGACAGAAGTGGGGAGTCCGCCAGCGGATGTTGATGCCCCGCTGGGAACAGGCATCCGCGTAGGCAGCCACCGCCGTGCAGAGGCACTCGCAGTCGCCTCCTTGGTCACAGGCACACGTGTCGAAGACGCAGCGCTTCAGGTAGCGATCCAGTGGCACCTGGACATGGCAGGCGGCGAACAGGGGCGACTTGAGGATGCTGCATTTCCCTTCGGACCAGGATCTCCGCTGTCCATTCCGGTGGCAGGAGTCGAAGGGCTGCAGCGGCAGCTCGCACTGTTGGTGGGTTCGCCACGAGTGGCCAAAGAGCGTGGGCTCCGCCTCCTGGCCTCCCGAGGGCGATTTGAAGTCATCCAGGCTGTTCCCGTTGTTGTTGCCACACAATCCGCCCACACGGCCACGCCACTCGTTTCCCAGCTTCACATAGACCCGGGTTCCCTCATCCCATTTGATCTGGAGACGCAGGGCGACCACCTCGACCACCAGAAACACTCCCGCTTTGTAGACGTGGAAGGAACTGGACTCTTGCGAACTGATCTGCTTGCGAAGTCCTGTAAGGGATGATAAGATTAATAATATGTAATTAATGAAATAATTTAAACAGGTTATTATGGGTTTTTATGGTAACAAAATATTGTTGATTAATATTTTTTTTGAGAATTCCTTTATAGGGATTACTAAAAATTATTTGTTATTTTGTTTTTTATTTTTTAAAAATTTGTTTTTCTTTATTATTTTACATTAGAAATGCTAATTTCTTTTTTATAGGGATTACTAGAAATTATTTAATATTTTGTTTTTTTTTTTTTAATTTTTTTTCTTTATTATTTTCATTAGAAGTGCTAATTTCTTTTTTTAGGGATTACTAGAAATTATTTATTATTTTGTTTTTTTATTTTTTTTTAATTTTTTTTGTATTTGTTTTTTGTTGTTATTTTGCATTAGAAATGTTAATTTCTTTTTTATAATTTCTCTTTTATAGGGATTACTAGAAATTATTATTTTTTTTTTATTTTTTTTTTTTTTTTGTTTGTTATTTTGCTTTAGATATGTTAATTTCTTTATTACCCTAAAAATTAACCTTTTTATTTGAATTCTTCATAAAATACATTTACTCACGTGCTATGACAGAAGTGCCATTATCCGTTCCAAAGATTCCGCCCGAGCTCAGTTTAAGCTGCTCGGAGCCGCCCTTGCCGCTCAACGAGATCTCGAGGGACTTGGAGCAGGTGACGCCCGAGGATCCACATAGAACGTTCTGGATGACGATGGAGAAGCCACTGCCCTCGGCATTGACTCCCTTGGACAGCACGTAGTCACACTCGCCAAGGAAGTCAAAGTCCAGGCCATCGAAGGTGCTGAAGTGGGAGTCGCCCCACACGCTGCAGGTGGCCTCGCACTCGTTCCTGGTGCACTTCCAGGAGCCGCCCTGGCAGACGCACTGGTTGCACAGCTCCTGGAAGGTGTCGCCGTCGTCGAAGCTCCGACCGGCATGATAGCAGGAGCACTTCTCCGGCAGGACGCACTGCTGCCGGGTCACGTCGAAGACAAAGCCCTCCTGGCACACGCATCCCGGATGGCAGGCATTGCTTTCCACCGATCCATAATTGTGCATATTCTTGCAGGTCTTCCGCTCCTTGGGCGCACAACTCACAAACTTGGCGTACGGACTGCGGGCACACTTCTTGCGGAGATCGCCCAGTGGCGGGTAAACAAGAGGATCGTTCTTATCCGCATCCTGGCAACGCCACAGACCATCCGCACAGGTGCTAGGAGGGCAAATCTTTAGATTAGTACCGTAATTATACCCGTACTCGCAAAGTAAAAGGGTATATTGTATTTGTGGAAAAGTATGTAATAGCTAGAAGGAAGCATTTCCGACCCCATAAAGTAGATATATTCTTGATCAGGATCACTAGCCGAGTCACTAGCGTCTGTCCGTCAGTCTGTCCGTATGAACGCTGAGATCTCGGAAACTACAAAAGCTAGAAAGTTGGGATTACCCACACATATTCTTGGGCTTCTTACGCAGTGCAAGTTTGTTTCAGCCGAGGGCCGCGCCCCCTCTAACGCACACAATCGCCTTAAACGACTTTAAAATGTGTCTAGCGACCAAACCTTTAAAAATTTCGGAAAAGTAAAAGTTCAGTTTTAAGGTATTTATCAATACCTATCGAAATGTAGAAGAAATTTTTCAAATCGGACAATTCCTTAAAAAGTTATGCGCGATCAAAGTTTTATATCTCCATCTCCCTTGCACTCCCTCTAGCTGAGTAACGGGTACCGTTCTCTCTTGTTTTAAATGCAACGATTTTTAGACCCACCACAACTGCTGGAACCTGGCGCCAGGACGCACCTCCTTGTAGCCGGGCGGGAAGCTCAGTCCGTCGTAGTAGCAGGTGCACGCCTTCTGGGGAACACACTCCTGCTGCTCGTCGAGGAAGTGGCCCTTGGGACAGCGACAACCCTCGACGCACTGCCTCCTGCACTGATCCCGCTGCTCGAGGTCAAAGCAGCTGAGGGCGCAGGAGTCGCCGCACTCGTCGTACTCCTGGTTAACTGGGCACTTGATGGAGCACTGCTTGATGGTCTGCCTCCAGCTGGTCCTGATGCCATTCCTCACGCAAAGATCTGCATAATCGGAGAGCAGTTCGCAGAGAACCCTGCTACTATTGATCCGATTTCCGGCGCAAATATCGGCCACGCAATCCTCGTAGTGACCACTGGGATCCACGGCCCAGTGACAGGGCTTAAAGGTGTCCGATTGGAGGGCAGAGCAGAGCTCCTCCGCCGCTGCTCGCTGGGCGGGATTACCTAAGCAGGGAGTGGCTATGACTGGCGGAGGTTCCGGATCCGTGCAGAGCTCCTTGGTGCGCCACTTGCGGCCAAAGGCCAAGGCCGTGTGCTCAAAGTCTCCATCCGGCGTGAGAAAGTCATCCTTGGTGTTGTCATTAAAGGTGCCGCACAAACCGGCCGTGTTGTCGTAGTAACTATAGGGAGCATCGATGTGCACAGTGGAATCGCCATTCCACCAGATGACTAAACCATCCGCGAAGGTCACGGTGATGGTGTGGTGACTGGCCAAACGGAGCAGCACCTCGCCATTGCCCAGTTGGAGGGGCAGTTGGCTGACCACCTCGCCATTCACAAAGCTCTGCAGTTTTTGCGAGAGTTTAATGACCGTGGGTCCGCCTTCTTTTAGCGCAAAGCGGATGGTCACCGATCTGGTGCAGGATGGCCCGGTGGCAGAGGGTTCCACCACCTCATCCAAGGCCCCAGAGCAAGCGATGTTCTCACCCTCTACAGAACGAGTTGAGGTCTTCAGGAGGTAGTAAGAGCAGCGACCCTGGAAGTCGTAGCGTCGTCCATCGAAGGTGCGGTAATGGGAATCCCCGAAGGCTGTACACCGCTTGTTGCACTTCTCCTGGGAGCACTGCCACTTGCCGGCGTGGCAGGTGCACGTGTTGCACTCCTTCTGGTGGCTCTCACCCGGTTGGAACTCGCGACCACGCAGCTCACAGGGGCACATCTTTCGCTCGATGCAGGTGTCCTTGTACTGGAGCTTTCCACTCGGACAGAAGCAGCCCTCGAAGCATTGACCCTTTTCAGTGACTCCCTCGCTTTCGCAGGTCGGCTGGGATTGCGGACCGCACGACTGGTAGATGCGACCGCCGGTGCAACTGATGGGACAGAGCTGCAGATTCCGCCAATCCTTGACAGCCGGCTCAGAGCCCTTGAAGCGGCACTCGTCGACCAGCGATTGCAAAAAGTTGCAGGTGCAGGATTGACCCCTCGGACAGGAGCAGTGATCCTTGATGCAAGTTCGCAGTAGTGTCTCCTGGTTGAAGTTCTCCAGGCAGCTCTTCAGGTGGACATTGTGCAGTAGTTGGCGGCAGTTCTCCACGGCCTCCAGGTGACGCTCCCCGCGGCACTGGGCCAAAGGTTCGTCTGGATCGGCCACGCAGTTCTGATCGGCGGTTCGCCAGCTGTCGGTGAAGCTGCGACAGGATGGCGACACTGTTCCAGATCGGCTCATTAGGTCATTGTCACTATTTCCGTCCAGGTGACCGCACAGGCCACCCACCTTCTGCCAGAGATCCACGCCAGCGCGCACGGAGAGGAGCTGGTGATGATCCCAGACCAGCCGCAGACCCACCGACTCCAGATCCACCTCGACGTGCTGGGCAAAGGGCACCACCCGCATTCCAAGCAACTGGACGGGCAGAGGGAGGCGCTTCTCGGGCGTGGACAGGGTCACACTTCCATCTGAAAGGGGGAGATGGTCGTTTAAAACAGGTACAAAAAACAAATTGAAGTTCAAGAAAAATCATTAATAAGTCTAAGAATGTGCAAATTATAATTTTTTTCTTTTAAGGGAAACAAATTCTTTTAAACCCACTCTTAACTTTTAGAAACTATTTAGTTGAGGGGATGATTTTCAGTATGAAATTTGTAAAGCATACATTTGAAAACCACATTTTCGATAGGATTTCATAATATTGGTTTTAAAAACCTTCTGAAATATAACCTAAAATTTAAATCTAATCCAATCTTTTAAGAAAAAAAAGACACACGTTTCTGGTTCAAAACAAATCCCTTAAAAATCACTCTGAACTGTTAGAAACCATTAACTTTCAGTACGAAATTTTGAAAGCATACCACATTTCCATAGAATTTCATATTCTTGGTTCTAAAATCCTTCGAAAATAGAACCTAAAATTTAAATCTAATCCAATTAACTCTAGGTTATTGGTATTATTTTATTGGTTATTATTCTACTTAGGAATCGAATTTTCTTAAATCCAATTAGTTACTCACTTAGGTTCTCCAGAGTATACTGTACGGACTGCCATTGGATCTGAAGGGTCAGCGGCGATTCGAGCGTCTCGCTCTTCACTGACACATGGAACGCCCCGTATATCCTGTCGTTGACCAAAGTGTGGGCACAGTTTAGGGTCAGCCTGTACAGTAAACCATCGAAGGTGCGAATATTGCGACCGTTCCATGAGCTACAAATCGTTGGTACCGGAGCCACAATCACATCCTTATTGGGCTTGGGCCGCAATCGGAAAGCTCCATCGATATCGTCTATATCCGGATCCTCGGGCTTCCAGTTGCTGCTATTGTCGTACTGCCGATAGCGATCGCAGATGCTGATCAGATTATCCGGCCAGGGAAGTACCCTGCCTTGAGTAATTGTCACAGTTCCATTGGTCTGCGTGTCAGAGGTACTAATTCGCTGGGAAACATTTTGATTGGGAGCTGTGCGGAAAGAGAGGGAAGTTGATTATACTCTCATAAAAATTAATTTCTAAATTTTAGAAATCTCGCCATTAAATCGGCCTACCTTTGAAAATAGAAAAAATGTCTTCTTATTAGAAAATTTGCCTTTGAATGTAGAAAACTTTTCTAGATGAAAAAAAATTAAAGAATTTTCTAGATTTTAAGGATATTTTTTGATTTTTTTTAATGAGTGTAATCAAAATAACACTTCATGATAGTTGTGATAGACGGTTATATAGATCGATATCCTTAGTAATTCTTCAACTGATTTTTAGAATTTAATATCAGATTCACCGGCTAATTGAAAAGGGCTCTTTTAACAGAACTAAAATATGTTTTAAAACCCTTTTCGACGGCCATGTATGAATCCTATATGTTCCACTTGATAAATGCATTTTCATAATTATCTTTAAGCTATTAAAAATAGAGATTTAAAGCAATAAAAACTTATTCAGAACACATCTGGTTTGAATTTTGTGAAGATCATATGTATTACGGATGAGTGGACCTTGTCAAGTGCATAGGCTATAAACACATAAAAACAATTTTTCAAGTGGACAAAATTTCCATCCTTGAGACGATCGTGTGAGAAATACAACGGATCGAATTTCTTATCGCTATTTATATTTCATGGTGTGTTGGATGAAAGATGTCCCCTGCTGGGAATCCAATTACTTACGATATATGCACTTGGCGGAGAGTGTGGGCTCGAATTGTCCCGTTTCGTAGTCGCAGACGTAGCGTGAGGCCAGAGTTCCCTGAACACTAACTCCCGGAGCTGCTGGGCAGCTCAGGCGACACTCTGACTTTTCCGGTCCATGATCACACTGAAAGTTACCATTGAAGTCCGTCAAATTGCATCTGGACACGTCGAATTGGCACTGTTTTCCTCGGTAATTTGGAGGACACTCGCAGACATTGGCCGCAATGCATTTGCCTCCGTTCAAACAGTTTGGTGAACATGTGGCTAAAATTAAAATAATATAATTAGTTATTAAAATCTAAAAAAAAATCAGGAAAAATCCTTACCCTCGCACTCTGGCATTTTAGAGTACTCCGCGCTCATGTCCACGTACTTGGTGCCCTTGCACTTGAGAAGAACTCTGCTGCGTTGGTCGGAGAAGGCGAATCCCCGGGAGCACTCCACCTCACAGGTGTCTCCTCGGCAGACGGTCCTCGAGTTCTTCGGCAGCTGAGGTGGTCGCTCTGGACAGGCGAACTCCTGGTTCTTCTCGCAGTTATCTCCGCCGTATCCCTTCCGGCAGTGACAGAACTTCTCACCATTGCAGATTCCTCCATTCCGACAGGTGCAGGCTCCATCGCAATGCTGGACGGTCTTCGCCGTGGGGGAGCCGTTCTTGATGCCCCACGCACCGCGACGGCAGGAGAGGATCAGCTTCCTCACGTTCTGGCGCTCGCCGTAGAAGTGATTTGTCCCGAGGCAGCTGACCTCGCACTCGCCCCCCTCCTTCGTGTCCACGCAGTTTACATTCGTGTTGATGGGGAACTTGTACTGGGGACAGTGGGCGAATGGCTTCTTCACCTGGCTGAACCACAGCTCGTTGGCCACTTTCGGTCCCAAGTTGGGATTGCTGGATTAAAATGGAGTAGGTAAATATGAACTTATATGGAAATTTTAATTTGATCAATTAATAAATATTAGTATCGATATAATATTTCAAAATTGGCTTATCTTTTTGATAAAATTACTTCAAACTGAAAACTATATAGAGATCCTTTGATTATAAATTAACATTTAATGCTACTCAAAAAAATTACAGATTTTAAATACACCCCTCTAGCGACTAATAAGTTCTACAGATCTTTACTGTATTCTGAAAATTAATTATTAATCCTAAATATCCAAATTATAGTCGATATAAGAGGGGGTTTACTTTATAATGTATTCACTTACTCTGGCACCCAAGTCCTGGTTGGTTCCACATCTGGCAATCCCAAAGTGCTGCCAAGAAGGGAAGCGCCTAGGACCCAGACCCAAACTGCCACACCCATATCGGGATATATTTTGGTCCTCTGCAGGGACCTCTATTTCACTTTTCACCAAAAACACTTTTACACTGTTTAAATAATCGTTCAAGACTAAGATGCCATGAGTGAGTGCAGCCCCTTTTATACCCACGGACGACAAGAGCTGGGGTAATAGGGGGTCTTTCTTTTTTCGACTCACATTTTGTATACATGTATCACCAATTTTCTATGGAGAACACAAGAAGGATCAAAGACACAGATGTTGGGGGTACAATTTTGAGCTCGATAAGAAAATGTGAATTCTGTATTTTATCTTAAGATAAACAATTTAATAAAGTATTTCTAATTAACTAATATATTTCGTTTTATTTATGAACCCTCAGAAGCTCTCAAGACTATCTTTAAAATGAAATAAGTCTATATCTAATATTTTTTAATATTTGAAGGGTAATAAATTATTATTATTACTAATAATAGTAGGTAACGAAGAGCATTAAATTAATTGTACAATTTTTTACATTTTGAAACTTAATTAAATCAATATTTTTAAAATAAATTATATAGGAAATAATAATCATTAAAAGGGGAACTACCGTTATAAAGGGCTGCCAAATCGCAATACCGGTAAACGGGGCTGCCAACCTTTAAAAACGCAGTATGGCATTTTAAAGTACGTTTTCTTAATTGGAAACAAATCAAACGCGAAATGCAAAATCTGTAAATAATACACAAGAAAAAGAAAACCGTATTTTTAAGTGAAAAAGTGAAAAGTCTATAGTGCAATTATGTTTCTGCCCGAAACCGCCACCTTCTGCATCACCCTGCTGGTCTATGGAGCCATCCTCCTGCTCCTGATTTACTATGTGAGTTTGGATTTTCCTTTGGAGAAACCTATTTTCACGGTGGAAATTCTGTAGGTTTTGACGCTGGCGGATCTGGAGTGCGACTATCTGAATGCCCAGGAATGCTGCCGGCGCCTCAACTTCTGGGTAATACCCAAATTCGGATCCCACGCCCTGCTCTGCATCCTGCTGCTCCTCGGAGGCCACTGGCTGATGTTTCTGGCCAACCTGCCGATGGTCATTTGGCTGTTCTACGAGCTCCATCGCCAGCGACGCGATAGCCTGGGAGTCTACGATCCGGTGGACATCCACAGTCGGGGACTGCTGAAGGTTCACCTGAGGAATTGTATGATTTACCTGGGCTACTACTTCGTCATGTTCTTCGTGGCTTTGTACTGGTGAGCTTGGGATTGTAAAACACTTCTTTACACCTTTCTAATCACTGTAATCACTCCCTTTACAGCCTCATTTCATCGCTGATCAAGGGGGATCCCATCAAGCGTTACGAGGACGACGAAATAGTCACGGATTTCTGAAGTTTAGCCAAATAAGCCTGCATCCCAGGGGCTTCCAGCGTATTCCTTTAACCCAGACCAAACTACAATAGTTTCTACTTCGCCTGAAAGCAAGAGAGACTCGCATTCGACATGTTTCCTTATAAACTTTCGCAGAATTTGATAGAATTCGAATACCATTAATGGGTATACAAAAAGATTTACATTTTAATAGTTTAATTCCTTCAAAGTCTGTGAAAGTCGCGTTATAAAAGACTAACACCTTAGTGTTTTCAACTTATGGATAGACACCAACCTAGTCGCACTTCATCTTCACTTTATTTATTTCATTATTTAGCAATATAAGCGTATTCGAATAGAAATCACAAAATACATAACCATACACAGTACCCTCTGAACCCTCTGTTATTGCAGGAAGTCCACGACCTCCTCCAGTTCCCTTTGGCGCGCCTGTTTCTGTGCCCAGCGAGCCTCCGCGGTCTTCACACTGACCACCCAGCGATCGTGGGCCAGCTTGATGCCGCACACAGCATCGGACACGGTGGCTCCTCCGCTTTGGGTCCTGGCCATGTAGGACCTGGCATCGGAGCGCGGATGGCGACGCTGGGCCGGACACAGCTTGCCGCCCTTGGGAAAGGGCGGCTCCGAAAGGTACTTCTTAAGGCAGCCCTGGTGAAACAGGTGGCCACAGTAGACGCGCTCGATGAACAAGTCCGAATTGTCATCCGATTCTATGTCCTCCGGATACTCCGGCAGCACGGTATTATCACAAATGGGGCAGAGCTCGATGTGGAAGTCGCGGGTGGCCTCCAGGCAGAACTTGAGCGAGCAATGCAGACTCTTGACTGGCCGGAAATTGGCCAATTGCTCCTTGCTCAGCCGGATCGGAGGCTCCACGCACTGGCGGGCTATCTCCCGCGACTGGCCGTTCAAATAGCGCACTAGGACGGCCGGAAGATTGGACTCCTGGCCGCGCAGCTCCACACTCTGCATGGGATAGCTGTCCGGGACGACAGCGGTGACTCTGTAGGTGTAGCGGCCTCCCTTGGCCACCAGCTCGACGCTGCGGTTCTTCTGCTTCAGCTTCAGCTGGCTCTCCGTGCCCGTGCCCGTCTTGATGTCCGCCCTCAGCTGCTTGATCTCGTCCAGGCAGACGCACAGCGGATTGTCCGTTAAATACTGCTGGGCAAAGGCGAGGACCAGGAGCGCCTGTGGCTTGCCGAGGAAGTCCCTGGCATAGTCGTCGATCAGCCGGGTGAGCTCCGTCAGCAGCATGTCGGAGTACACACGGCTCTTCAGCTCCACCAGAATGGGAGTGCTCTGCGGATAGTTCTCGGGAAAGCGAAGGCACACGGTCATCGAGCGGTTGGGCCGCTCCGGGTAGATGTCAACCCGGATCAGGGAGCTGGAGCAAATGACGATCTTCGTGTGCGGCACCTGCTTCTCACATTTCGCCCGCAACTCCGTGACTTCCTGGTCAATAAAGCTCATTGTCGAAGGCGCAATCTGTTAAGAGTTCGCTGCAGTTCTCTTCTCCAATTGGACTGTTTTTGAACAGCTGGAAAGGCGGGTAGTGTTGTGAAGCGGTGACAGCTGGGTTTGAGCTAGTGACGAAAATTGTGTAGGCCTTGATTTTAGCTTGGGTGCTTATACTAATAATTAATATTTTAATAGTTGAAAAAATTAAATGAAGTATACAAATATGTTGTTACCTAAATGATGGTTTAATTTAGCTTGAAAATTTGTAGTTAAAGGATGAAGAATTGCATTTTTTAGCTTAAGGCTCTAAATTTTACATTTTAGTCAAACATATAATAATAATAAGAATAATATTTAATTCATATTTAACAAACCACGAAAGATATAGACTGAAGCTTTAAATCCATTTTTTAGTCACGGAATCTATACTATAAATTAGATTTAAGATTATAGATTAAATAAATTCCTTAGCATTTATTTATGAATTAATTAACACATTATATATAACTCTAATTTCTAATAATATTTCAATTATATTACCATAATATAAAATAATATTTTAAAAATTACAAGTTTAATTGATATTCTTAATTTGCACTTAACAAATAATTCCAAAAATGTTTTAAATAAATTTCTGATTCCCCCATACTTTTTTCGAAATTTTGAATTATAGAAATGCTAAATTCCTTAAAATTTTTGAATAAATAAATATATACAAACATTTTTTAAATGGGTTAAAAACAAACAAGAATATGAGTCATCGCAATGTACTTCGTCACTATCCGAAAACCACACCTTCCAGTGTTGGAAGTGCTGGCCAGCTGACGCAAAATCCCAGCCACGTTGTGAAAACGCCGACGAACTGCTCGCTAATCGCAGCTTATCCCCGACTGAGACTTAAGTAAAGCATACCCAACATGGTGCTGGATCTGGATCTGTTTCGCAGCGACAAGGGCGGCAACCCCGATGCCGTGCGCGAGAACCAGAAGAGGCGCTTCAAGGATGTGGCCCTGGTGGAGACGGTGATCGCCAAGGACACCGAGTGGCGTCAGTGCCGCCACCGCGCCGACAACCTGAACAAGGTGAAGAACGTCTGCAGCAAGGTGATCGGCGAGAAGATGAAGAAGAAGGAGCCGGTGGGCGCCATGAGCGAGGATCTGCCGGCGGGAGTGACCCAGGATCTCACCGAGATCGTGGCCGAAACCCTGCAGCCGCTGACCGTCAACCAGATCAAGCAGCTGCGCGTCCTCATCGACGATGCCATGACGGAGAACCAGAAGTCGCTGGAGCTGGCCGAGCAGACGAGGAACACCTCGCTGCGGGAGGTGGGCAACCACCTGCACGAATCGGTGCCCGTGTCCAATGACGAGGAGGAGAACCGCGTGGAGCGCACCTTCGGCGACTGCGAGAAGCGCGGCAAGTACTCGCACGTGGACCTCATCGTGATGATTGACGGCATGAACGCGGAGAAGGGAGCAGTGGTGTCCGGCGGACGTGGTTACTTCCTCACCGGAGCAGCCGTTTTCCTGGAGCAGGCGCTCATCCAGCACGCCCTGCATTTGCTCTACGCCCGTGACTATGTGCCGCTGTATACGCCCTTCTTCATGCGCAAGGAGGTGATGCAGGAGGTCGCCCAGCTGTCGCAGTTCGACGAGGAGCTCTACAAGGTGGTGGGCAAGGGCAGCGAGAAGGCCGAGGAGGTGGGCGTCGATGAGAAGTACTTGATCGCCACCTCGGAGCAGCCCATTGCCGCCTACCATCGCGACGAGTGGCTGCCGGAGGCCTCGCTGCCCATCAAGTACGCCGGTCTGTCCACCTGCTTCCGCCAGGAGGTGGGCTCCCATGGACGCGACACTCGCGGCATCTTCCGCGTCCACCAGTTCGAGAAGGTCGAGCAGTTCGTGCTCACCTCGCCGCACGACAACAAGTCGTGGGAGATGATGGACGAGATGATCGGCAACGCCGAGCAGTTCTGCCAGTCGCTGGGCATTCCATATCGCGTGGTGAACATCGTATCGGGAGCTCTGAATCATGCCGCCTCCAAGAAGCTGGATCTGGAGGCCTGGTTCGGCGGCAGCGGCGCCTACAGAGAGCTGGTCTCCTGCTCCAACTGCCTGGACTACCAGGCCCGCCGCCTGCTGGTTCGTTATGGACAGACCAAGAAGATGAACGCCTCCGTCGACTATGTGCACATGCTGAACGCCACGATGTGCGCCGCCACTCGTGTCATCTGCGCCATCCTGGAAACCCACCAGACGGAGACGGGCATCAAGGTGCCGGAGCCGCTGAAGAAGTACTTGCCGGCCAAGTTCCAGGATGAGATTCCCTTCGTCAAGCCCGCTCCCATTGATCTGGAGCTGGCCGCCGCCGAGAAGCAGAAGGGCAAGAAGGAGAAGACCAAGAAGGACCCGGCTGCCGCTTAAGATTAAAGTCTATGAAATTACTATGAAATTTAACGCTAAACTAAGCTTGCAAAGTCCTAAATTTTTGTTACTTATCGACTTATCTAATATTTATGGCATTTATATAAACTTTGTAACGATTAAACTGGATCGAGATGTGCTTCGAATGCAATTGTAATGTGTTTGGTAATGTAGTTTTTTATTTATTTTTTTATATTCTAGTTTTGAGGCAATTACAAATGGCCTTCAGCCAATTGTTTTGCTATAGCTTCTAGGCCCTAAGCTAGTGGGGATTATTTACATTGTTTTTACATCTAAATTGTGGTGATATGAATTATTTAATATATTATTATACAGGTTTATTGCCTTGGTAAATTCCGTGGGATTTTGGGGAAAAGGAATCTATTGAATTTGTGAGTAGGATGTTGTTTCTTGTCGTCTCGTATGCTGAACATTCTAAGAAGAAGTGTGGCAATGTAGTTCTTTTTAGGGTTCTTCTGAATGTAAATTGTTTTTGAGGGAAAGTCACCCCAGCCGGTAATTGCCGTTGTCAGGACAATATGCTGAAATTGTTTACGAGAATTTTCCCTTGGACTTAGTTCACATTTCATTTTCAAGTCAAGAACAACTATAAAGAGAAATATTACAATCCGAAACAATATCTGAATAAAGATGTCGCATCAGAAACGTCGAGAGAAGCCCAACAAGGAAACTCGCTGGGATCGCATCCGCAAGCGGCACCAGCAGGTGAATGCTTTGGGTCTGAAGACGGATGCAGTGCGTCGCCTCATCGAGGCGGATTACGTGGGAAGGCGACAGGAGCGGATTCTGATCGAAGGAGAAAATACGAAGCATCTGAATCCTAGTGTTATAATGGACATGCGACATAAGATGGTGAATTTATAATATTTAGTAGCATTCGGAATTAAATTACCTAACAAATTTTAACTAATATCAATTGAATATATAAAATATTATTTTCTTATTAGTATATTTACAAAATAAATAAAAAACTATTAATTAATAAGTAACTTAAACCACCTTCAAATAGTTTCAGAAGAAGTTGGTAGGTTATCATGGACATGCGACATAAGATGGTGAATTTATAATATTTAGTAACTTTCGAAATTAAATTAAGTAACAAATTTTAACTAATAACCATTGAATATTTAAAATATTCTTTTTCTATAAGTATATTTTAAAAAAAATTAAAAAGAGAAATAAGTAATTTAAGCTATGTATCTTCAAACAGTTTCAGAAGATTATCATGGACATGCGACATAAGATGGTGAATTTACAATATTTAATAACATTCAACATTAAATTATGTATATACAAAATCTTAACTAATAACAATTTATTATTTAAAATATTATTTACTTCCTGATATATTTATAAAATTAATAAAAGAGAAATAACTAATTTAAGCAATCTTCAAACAGTTTCAGAAGATACCACACAAACTTCCCCTGGCCACCATCGCCCATGACCATGGCAACTCACTGGAAGCCACCAAGGCGCACAATCTGGAGGTGGAACAGCGGTTCATTGACAATCAGCTGCAGAAGTTTCGCCAGCAGTTGTCCAGGCAGTTCCAGCGGAGCAAGTCGCACCGCGTGCCGCCCACCAAGCCGGACTTCAAACTGAACCATGCGCCGCTGGTGAAGAGTCTGGCCCAGGCTGCCCAGCACATAGACAACTTCTACAGCACTCCTGTCCAGGCATTGGGTCAAATGGCGCAGATGTGCTCGGACACCAAGACGGCGGCCACCAAGAGCCTCATCCAGCAACTGAGATCGGAGCCGGAGAAGGAGGCGGACATGGACAGCGAGTGGGTGGAGCAGGAGGCCCAGGTGATGGTGCTACCTGCGTTGCTGGAGGAGCAGGCCATATCCTTTGATGCCCTGGAGTATCGCAACTTTGCCAAGCAAGTCCAGGCGGATGAGAGCAAGGCGAAGCTCCTAAGGTGCCGAACCCCGAGTCCATTGACCTCCACGGAGGAGTTCTTTCGACCCATGCGGGCGGCAGCCGAGCGTCAGATGCTCCATGTCCGTACCGTCCGCCACGAGGAGGAGCTGCAGGAGGGGAACAAGCAGGAACAGCAGCCGGAGGAAAATTCCACAGTGCTGAAAAGGGAATCCTCCACCTGCTCCAACACCAGCGATGGCATCGATTCCGTGATATCCGACTTGGCAGAGGAGGCGCTCTATGAACTCCAGTTGGAGGCCGCCGAGAAGCAAAACGACCAGCTGGACAAGGAGTTACCCATGCCGCCCAAGCACGTGCAGTTTCAGTTGCCCCAAAAGAAGACTCCCACACCGATTACCCATCCCATTGGAGAAACCGAAGGCAAGGAGGAGCCTGAACCCGAACCGCTGCTCATCCGGCGGATAGAATTGCCCAAGGTTGTGGTGAAGCCCAAGGAACCCGAGCAACCGGAGCTCTCCAGCGATAGTGAAGATGAATCGGCTGTGGCACCTGCCCACGAGAAGCAGAAGATCATCGAGCAGCTGTTCCAGGCCAGGGCCAACACCCAGTTGGTGGTGATGCGCAAGTATTTCCTCAAGTGGATCCACTTTACCACCATGGAGAAGATCGAGCGGGAGCAGGGACAATCCATTCAGGCACGGGACAACCGGGTGCAGAAAATCAACGCCTTTCTGGATAAAGTGCGGCAGGAGAAGAAGCGACAGCGCACGGAAACGGTTGAGGAGACCAGTAAGATCACCCAGAAATCCCTGGAGCAGCGACAGGAGGCCGTCAAGATGGCCAAGCAGTTTAAGAATAAGTAGGTTCCTCTGTAGAACAGATAAAATATATCATTAATACCGGGTTATCTCTGCTTATTAGACTTAAAGTACAGCAGGACATCATTGACTTGCAAAGGATTAAGTTAGAGCGCCAGGAGCGGCTCATAATGCAGCTCAAGCTGACGAAGCTCAGCGACGAGGCCAAAGAGGCTCGCGAGGATCTCAAGCAGGAGCTGAAAACGGTCATCCGTTGCGGCGATCCCAAGGCAAAAGCCAAGGCCAAGTGCCTGCAGCTGATCGGCAGTCTGCGGGATGCGGAGGACGAGGAGATGGATCGGCTGCAGGGAAAGGCGCTGCTGCAGCCACGGTTCCTCCAGCACATGCAGGAACGGGCCACGGAGCGCAGTGTGCGCCATGAGCAGGCTCGTCAGCGGCGGGCACAGGCGGATGCCGAAAGGGAGGCGGCCAAGGTGGCACTAGAGGAGGCTAAGGTATATAACATTAAACGTATTCCTATGTTTTATAATACCTGATTTCCTAATCCTTTAGCGCCAGGAGGACGAGGAAGCCAAACGCCTAAGGATGGAGGTCCTCAAGGAGAAGCGACGCCAGGAGAAAATGGCCAAGGTGCTGAAGGAGCGCGAGCGCCAACGCTTCATCGAAAACCAGCGAAAGGCAGTGGAGTTCAGTCGGCGTCTTCTCCTCAACCGAATTGGCATGGAGGGCTTCAAGCGACTGCTGCAGCGAAAGCGCGAGAACCTGGTCAAGAGCGAGGAGTTCCGCTGCCAGTTGGTCAAGAAGAACGCCTTTCAGTCGTGGCACAACTACACGGCCTATAAACAGCGGGAAAAGATGATCCGAGCCGAGAGATGTTGGCATACCATCCTCAAGCGGCGTGCCCTGTCCATTTGGTTGGTTTATGTGCAGAATGAGAAGAGCAAGATGCTGGTGGCCATCGACTGGCATGCACTTCATGCCATGGAACACTGGTTTGGCCGCTGGCACAACTACACCACGCGCTGCCGGATGATTGAGGACACGAAGACGCGGCAAGCCATCTCCCATCATGATTGGTAGGTTCCTAAAATTAAATATTTTATGTTATATATTTTTTACATTTTGCAATTTAACTTAGGCACTTGAAATGGAAGGTCCTGGACTGCTGGCGACGCCTGCCGCAGATCCTCAAGATCGAGAAGGAAACGGAGGAGCGCCGCCAGCGATGGCGCATGAAGATCTGGGAGCTCCTGCCGGATTACAAACCCAGAGAGGATAGCCTTTGGTAGCCTTTTTAGATTCCTAGTTATATTTATTCTGAATAAATTTGAAATTGCATTCAAGACCTTAAAGCGCTATGACTAAGTACGACTACCAAGAACAGAGTTTAGAGTGGAAATACTTTAGTATTTGGGCGACAAGCTTGTGCTATCTGCGTTTTTTTTTTGGTGTGTGAGCAATCACTTCAGAATGGCTCGCCAGTTGCTCCAGATTCGATTGCGACCAGCGGCATTGGAGGAGCGTTTGTATTCGTGCAGGGTGGAGCCCTTCCACCACAAGTAGGCCTGCCGGGCGAGTATAAAAGCGATGTAGGCGGAAATAAGCAGAGCATAGCAGGCCACCACAAAGGAGATTCCCAGTCTGCAAAGGAAAAGAATGATTATAAATTGTAGATAAGTTCTTATCTATATTTTACTCACTCGAAGCCCTCGAAGACCTCGCTGCAGTCGTCGGGCAGGAGCACTGGATAGCCCAGCGGCCGCACCACCATAAACGGATGGCAAATCGATGTGAGGGTCAAGTTGGCGCCCAGCAAGAGGGCAATCTCCGAGAGAGCCAGGCCGACAATGTACCACACGTAGTTCCGTTCGCCGATGCAGCAGTTGAGCCAGTAGCTGTGGTGATCCCGCCTCTTCACGCAGGTTCCGCAGACGAGACAGTGGTACGCCCGCCTGGGAGTGACCTTCCGGCAGATCTCGCAGATATTCGGCTGGCCGTGCATCAAGCCCGACCGCTCGGCAGTGTCCATGTCCACCACCTCGTCGTCATCCAGGCTCAGCACACTCTCCATCTGCAGCGTGGTCTGGGCCTCGGCCTGCTCCTCGCCACTCGAAGCCTCCGCGATGCCGGGCAACTCATCCTTGGGCGTGGTTCCATACTGAGCCGAGACCAGATTCAAGGGTGACAGGGCCTTGGTGGAGTACAGACAGTACAGGGCGGCGCAGGAGAAGAACATCAGGGCGTAATTCTCCTCCGGGGCCAGCTCCAGCAGGGGAACCTGGAACTCAAAGATGATGATCATGTAGAGCACCGAGAAGACCAGCCAGCTGAGAAAGAAGTTTGTCCGCGTCGCCATCCGCTTGGCCAGCTGCACACCCCAGATGGTGAAGCCCACCAGGGTGAGCATCAGCACCACGGCGGTCTTGGAGTTCAGGGTGGCCAATCCCAGCATGAGGGGCACAATGAATGCGGGTGCCACGGCAGCTGGCGAGATTCGCTTGGCTCCGCCGCGCCATGGCAGACGCAGTCGATCCTGGAAGGCGATCAGCATGCCGCTTAGGTTTCTTCGGTCGATGGTCTGGCAGGTGACCAGTCTGGAAAGGAAATCAGAGGGATTTAATGGTAATCCTAGCCTGATACCTCTTTCTACCCACCTTGTGCACACTAAGTCGAAGTCCACGCAGTTACAACAGCATCCTAGGATGTGCGACCGCTTGCGGGTGTCCTCCGACACGTACTCACAGCAGCAGAGAGTCCCCTGCGCCTCCGACTTGGCCTCCTCGGCCTCCGATCTCCAGGCTGCAGTCACAAAATCGGAGGAGCCGGCTGACATCAAGAACATCGATTTGGCGAGAGAGAAAAATTGCGCGGCGATGAGTGGATTTCCGTTCGGCGTTCCGGTGGCAGCGTGTACAAAACAGTTTAGATTAGGTTAGTGCGCGCCCTACTGGCTGACTGGAGGAATGTTTCGAGCAATCGTAAATGTCGGGTAGGTCCATTTTAATCAGTTTTATCAGAGCGACGAACTTACTCACAATTTATCCGGAACAACGGCAACAACAACTCAGCTGAGGGTCGGCAACCCTGTTACAGGGTAACCCGCGCAAAAAAGGGTTGTCTCTTGGCGTTCCGGTAACCGTTTTATTTTGAACGTAAAACTGTTATCTATAAATGAAATATTTTTATAGACTCCCAAATAATTGTAAAATAACTATTCACCAACAACTTTAATTTATTTAAATTTTAATTGTAAAATGCCTCTTTTCAAGTTTTCGTCTGCTTGCCAGACACTTTCACTTTGAAAAACGTCTTCCTGCTTGATCTTGGCCGAAAATTGTTCCAAGCCACCTCCTACTCCAAAATAATGGGATTTTGCAGCGACCAAAACGATTCCATCTGATTTCAAGCGACCAGCAAAAGTTTCCAACAGTTTTTTCTGATTTTCAATATTGTAGATTGTCTCAGAGGTAAGTATTAGATCGTATTTCTCCACCTCCTTCGTTAGCTGGGCGAAATGAGACCAGTCTCCAGCGTACAAGCTTGTGTTCTTGTCCAAAAAATCCAGCTTTTCATCGTCAGTTAGCGTTTCGTCCACATTTAGCAGGATATTCGGATATGTGATGTATTCCAAAACATCTTTGTTCTGAAATTAATAATAATTATTAAAATAAAAGTTAAAATATGGAACTCGTTAACTCCTCACATAGTCCTGAAAATCGACTCGTGCTCCGTTTTTAATGGCATAGATCCCCAGCAAGCCGGAACCACATCCCAAATCCAAAACTCGTTTGTCCTTCCAGAACAAATCCTCGTGCTTTTCGGATAGATATTGTAAAAGATCGTCTGTGCATTCCCATATTTTAGCACCGCCTTCGTAGACCCCGGCTATTAGATCGGAATGGTTATCCTCGGATTTTCTAATATCCAGATCCTGCAGATCGGATTGGGCTTTAATATCGTCCAGCAAAAAGCCGGCCACGAGGTGTTTTATCGTTGTATTTCCCACTTCTATTTCCTTGGCATTCAGCTCGTAGAAATCCAATGTGGCAATAAGGTTATCTATGGGCTTAACTTTCTCCGCCTGGTACCAATCTATATCATTTGATTTTCCCGAATCGGGTTCTTCAGCATCAGCTTCTTTGTCAAAAATGGGACTTTTAACGGCCTCCGGATCTTCAGATGAGTCCACTTCAAAATTAAATTTAAACATGGTTGTATCCGTTAGGCACCCTGTGACTGCGATTGGTTTTATTCTGCAGGTGTAACAATTAACAGTGTAACAATTGTTTTTCGATTTAAACTCACGTTTTATTTATTTATTTACCTCTGTAATTAATCAGCTGTCGACACAAACCACGCTTTTCGTACTCAGGTCACCCTGTGATGTGGAACTGCCAACTTGTGCCTTTTCGATTTTCCAATCGAAAGTTATCGAATAGTCGCTGTGATGCACTTATCCCTTGTCGCCCATCGCTAGATTGAATTGTTTTTTCGCTGGTGGTTTTCGTTTTTATAGATTTCCTTTATTTATGGCGGACCAGCTGAACAACGAGGTGAGTTCGTTACTTAACCCAACCGGCTAGCTCTCTACCAAATGCCCATCCTTGCAGCCCGGCCAGCCCACGCCGCTGATGTCCATACGCTTCGATCAGCAGCAGCATGAAAGTGCGGCGGCTAATGGAAGTGAGAACGGCAATGGAAACGGGAACGCCGGCGAAGCTCCCGAGGAGAACTCCGCTGCGGATGCGGAGAAATCCGCCGGAGAACTGGTCCTGCCCAAGGCCCTGGAGGATGTGCTGGCTCTGAAGGATCAGCGGGCGGCCGAGTTCACCGTGGACGCCGATTCGCTGGTTGGCAGCGGGGGAGTCACCCAGGATGGCGATGAGGCGGATGTGGGCGAGGACAGCGAGGAGGATGCGGATAACCAGGTGAACGGCGACGGCGGCCAGAAGCCCGGCAGGCAGAGCAAGGCGGAGCGGAACAAAAAGAAGAAGAAGCGCAAGAAGCAGAACAAGAAGATTCGCCACCAGCTGGAATTCGAGCGGCAGCAGCAGTTGGCCCAGGCGGATGAGCACGAGGCGGGGGATCAGGAGCCGGCCAAGGAGCCGGAGTCGAAGGCCGCGGGCAGCGAGGACGAGCAGGTGGCCGAGAAGGAGAAGAAGGACAAACACAAGGATAGTCGCAGCAAGCGGCGGAAGGATCGCAGCGATGAAAAGGAGAAGGACAAGAAGGAGGCCAATGAAGAGGATGTGACCATAGAGTAAGTCAAAGCTAAGATATCCCTATAATATCTCTAATAATTACTTTTCCCACCCCCAGATACGTGCCCGAAAAGATAACCATTGCCGATCTGGCGCCCATGTACCGCCAGTTCTATCGCGTCTTCGAGATCTTCAAGCTGGAGAACAAACCAAAGCCTGCGGAAAAGGACAAGAGCCAACAAGACTCCGAATCCGTCAGCAAGGACAAAAAGGCGGCCGACAAACTGCTCGAGGACGAGGACGACGATGGCGACGATGACGACGAGCACAAGGAGGACAAGGAGAAGCTGTCCAAGCGCAAGCTCAAGAAACTAACGCGTCTCAGTGTGGCTGAGCTGAAGCAGCTGGTCTCGCGACCCGACGTCGTTGAGATGCACGATGTCACGGCCCGGGATCCCAAATTGCTGGTCCAACTGAAGGCCTACAGGAATACAGTCCAAGTGCCGCGACACTGGTGCTTTAAGCGGAAATATCTGCAGGGCAAACGGGGCATCGAGAAGCCTCCCTTCGATCTGCCCGCCTTCATCAAGAAGACGGGCATCATGGAGATGCGCGAGTCGCTGCAGGAGCGCGAGGACGCCAAGACGCTCAAGGCCAAGATGCGCGAACGCGTGCGTCCCAAGATGGGCAAGATCGACATTGACTACCAGAAGCTGCACGACGCCTTCTTCAAGTGGCAGACCAAGCCGCGCATGACCATTCACGGCGATCTCTACTACGAGGGCAAGGAGTTTGAGACGCGTCTGAAGGAGAAGAAGCCGGGCGATCTGTCCGAGGAGTTGCGAATTGCCCTGGGCATGCCCGTCGGCCCGAACTCGCACAAGATTCCGCCGCCCTGGCTGATTGCCCAGCAGCGCTACGGGCCGCCGCCCTCGTATCCGAATCTTAAAATTCCCGGCCTGAATGCGCCCATCCCGGACCAGACTTCGTTCGGCTATCATGCCGGCGGTTGGGGCAAGCCGCCAGTGGACGAGAACGGAAAGCCGCTGTACGGTGATGTGTTTGGAACCAACATATTGGACCTGGATGTGAGTAGCATCGTTTCTTAACCATCTATCATTATTTAATATGACAATACTTGACTTAGAATGGCATTGACGAGGCCGACATCGAGCGCAATCAATGGGGTGAACTGGAATCGGAGTCGGAGGAGTCTTCCGAGGAGGAGGAGGAAGATGGCGAGGATCTGGGCGATCAGCAGGATGAGACTGGCCTGGTCACACCAGTGGAGGGACTGGTCACACCCTCTGGACTCACCAGTGTCCCAGCCGGCATGGAAACGCCCGAGAATATTGAGCTGCGCAAGAAGAAAATCGAGGCCGAGATGGAGGAGTAAGTGCAGCAAGATCTGCAAGATAAGAGCAGAGTTAACCACATATTTCTACTCTCCCTCAGCAATGAAACCCCCGTTTTGTACCAAGTGCTGCCCGAGAAGCGCACGGACCGCATAGGCGCTTCCATGATGGGCTCAACCCATGTCTACGATGTCAGTGGAGGCGGGGCCAACAAACAGCCGCCAGTTCGATCCACTACAGATCGCGAGGGCATCGTGGAATTGGCCCTGGATCCCAGCGAGCTGGACATGGACAACGACGCCATGGCCCAGCGTTATGAGCAGCAAATGCGCGAGCAGCAGAATCACCTGCAGAAGGAGGATCTGTCGGACATGTTGGCCGAGCATGTGGCGCGACAGAAATCGAAGCGCAAGCGACAGCAAACGGATCCGGCCAAGACCACAAAGAAGTACAAGGAGTTCAAGTTTTAGTTCGACAACAAGAAAAAACAACTTTTCCATTTGTGCGTTTGTCAAGAATGTCAATAAACTTAGTAAAAACAAAGAAATGTATTTATTGCAACTAGAGCCCTGTGTGATTCACTCAATTTTTGTTTTATAATAGTATGCCATTAAATTTCTGATTTGTTTAATTCAATTTCAAATCAATGTTAACTGCTTAGTTAATAAAATTCAGGCAGATTTAATCACAAAATTATGGCCCTTTCTTCTTTAAAAGAAATAATCGTTTGAATTATTTCGGAATTAATGCCATTCATTCATTCAATTCTATTAAACTTCAAATTTTAATTAATTCATTCATATAAAACAAAAAAAATCCATTCATACAGGGCTCTAATTGCAACTTAAGAGCCAGGATCACTTTAAATCGTTTTCACAAAAATTCAATTAAATTCATAGATCAGCAACAATCAAACCAGATTCCTGTAATTACCATAATTTTAGTTTATTTTGACGGAGACTCAAAATCATTTGCGTTTAACTTAAAACTTGACTTGTTAGCTTTAATTCTCATTTATACATTGAAACTTAATGCGACTAAGAAATTACTTTAGTGGTTTGCTGTGTGGCTTGTGCTGGGATCAGGACTGTATCTTAACCAAACGAAGCGGAGTGCAGTGCAAGGACCTGTGAGAACTTGTCCAGCAACCTTGGACTCAGCCAGCTGCTTCTCCTGACCCGCATTTAGCTGGAGCTCGAGAGTGACAGCCACACGCTGTCTATGTCGGCTTAGGCTCAGCGCCCGCCGGCCGCCGGTCACTCGTCCAGCTGCTCGCTAAGTTGCGCCAGCAGAGCCGCCCGCTTCGATTCCAGCTCGCCGTCACTCAAGGTCAGCTCCTCGTTCCGCGATCCCGCCGACTCCATGGACTGGGCGGGACTGAGCGGCGTGCCGGAGCGATTGTGTCTGTTGTGTCGCTTGCCCTCCTTGTCCTTCTTGGTCCGCTTCTCCTTCTTCTTTTTCTTGGCCGGCGAATGGGAGTTGGAGTCGTTCTGCAGGAGTGCTTGGGTTCCGGGCGACTGGTTGCCCGGCAGTTCCGATTCGCAGGAGGACTGAAATGTAAGCCTTGTTAGTGGTCTTGAGTTTCGGGGATTGGCGGGGACTTGCTACGTACACCTCGCAGTTTGTTCTTGCGCTTCTTTTTCTTCTTCAGCAACTTTTCGCTCTCGATGCTGCCGATCGAGCTCAGGGAATGCTGCAAGGGATTGGAAAATACTTGTAAATTTTAGTGTTACACTTGTAATTGGCATACTAACTAGAGACCTGCGTGAATCATTCAATGTTTGTTTTTCATAGTATGTCATGAAATTGCTGATTTGTTTAATTCAAATTTATGTAAAATAAGTTGAATGTTTTTCTAATTCATTTCGAATTGAATGAATAATTTTTAGGAATTGTTTGAATTTGCCAGTTTTTTTTGTGCTTTCTTTTAAGAACAAAAAGTGGAACATTTTTAACAAATCAAAATTCAAAATAACTAATTGAAACCATTCATGCAGTATTACTAACCGATCGTGACTTGGAGCGTCTTCGCTTGGACTTCTCCAGTTCAACCTGTTCATTCTCAATGTCCGATCTCGACGTGGACCGAACTCGTTTTTTGTGCTTTTTGTTCTTCTTCGATTTACGTGACCGCGAGTGGTGATGGCTGCACGCGTCCTCGCTTTCCTTTATAAAGTCCTCCCAGATCTTCTCCACTCCGATTTCCTTTTCGTACAGGGCAAATGCTTCCAGGTGCTCCACCAGCTTCTTGGCACTCTCGTAGGGTTCGGCCACCGAGACGTTGGCCTCCAGCCATTCGTTCTTAATCTCATTCTCCAGCTTCCGTAACCGACGCACCTCCTCCTTCATTCGCTCCTTTTCAATGGCCTCCGCCTGGAAAAAAAACAATATTATGTAAGACTTTCACTGAGAAGACCACTCAATAATTACCTTTTCCAGCAGGGAGTTGTAGGTGAGCTTCACATTGCCCGCGTCCAGGCTGGCCGATCGCTTATCCTCGCACACCACGGTGGCAAAGTCCTCGAAGGACGTCTTCGCCTGGACCACAAAGACTTTTTCCTTCAGTATCTCCCGAATGATTTTCTTTTCGTCATGGAAGCGGGCTTTTAGGTTCTCCACATAGAACTTAAACAGATCCAGCGGTGTGGAGCCATTCTGGCCGAGCATGGCGGAAAATCGCAGATCGGCGGATATGATGGGGTACAGCTCCACCCACAGCGACATGGACGTGAGCTTGCCCTCTTCGTGCAGCGAGTCGAGGAGGGCGAGAAAGGAGTCCCTGTTCTTGCGCTGCTGTCGCTTCATCCGCTTCTTTTCCCGCTCGCGTTCCTCGTCCTCCTCCTTCTCCAGCGTTCGAATGTGCTCCTCGAAGACAATGAGGGCATCCTCCTTGTCCATTCCCAGCAGGGTCACGTCGTTCTTGAAGGCCGCATTGTCGAGCAGCATGACCTGGGCCTCTGACCAAGTGGTGGCATGATTGATCGACGTCATCGACTCGAGCAGCTCGCCCAGAACCTTCATATTGCGCTTCTTCAGCAGCCGCGCCTCCTCCTTCTCCCGCTTGGCCAAGTTGAATATACAGTCCTCGTATATATCCCTTCGATCCGGTTCCGGCACCACCGTCCACGTTCGCGTCCCGGCAAAGACCTCTTCGCAGCGGAAGTACTTCATCTGCGAGTTCATCTTGTCGCTAGACATGAGGAACTGCTCCAGGTCCTCCTTGGCCTTCTTCGCCTTCAGCCGCGACTCCTCGCGCTCGTCCTTGATCTTCTGCGTCTTGTAGGCATTGAAGGTCTGCTTGCGCTCGTTGAGGTTCTTGAAAGCGGCGTAGCGGGGATCCTTGGATATGATCTTCACGCACTGATCCCAGTTGGCGTTTGAGGGCACATTGCGGTCCCTCAGAAGCTCTTTAAAGGATTCGATGGCCTCGCGTTTGTCCTTGAACACCACAGCATTGTCCGACTTGTCGTCCTTTTTGGCTAAAAGAGAGGTTGGTTTAAGCGTGTGGGAGAAATCAAGAGTTATGTACACTTACAGTTCTGTTGGGGCACCTCTATGGACGCCAGAGTGGCCGCCATGGCTTGGTCCATGGCCGAGGAGGAGTTGTCGTTGCTGCCGGGCGTCAGCGGCGAATGGATCTCGGGGGTGGGTATCCTGGGGGCAGCGGGCAAAGCGGCAGGTAGGATGTTGGCCAGGGCAGCGTGGGGAACCATGCCCGCCAGGCTGGATGAGGTCATGGCCGCCACGGCCTTGGCGGCGGCAGCAGCTCTGGGGTAAACGAAACCTGATATTAGCAAACAAGGTGAAACGATGAAAGCCACACTTACTCCTCCGCCTTCGCCTTGGCCTTCATGTCCACGTACTCCGGCGGCGGCTCCCAGCAGGTCTCCTTGGTGGCCACGTTGTGGTAGTAGACCTTGCCCGTGTCCGAGCGGTACTCCTTCCAGGGGCACTGGTTGTGCAGCAGCTCGGCGGGCGTCATCAGGGCCTCCGGCTTCTCCCACGAGCTCTGCTTGGTGTTCTGGTTGTAGTAGTAGGGTCGTCCGTCCGGCGCCTTGTGCTCCGTCCACTCGGTGCTGGTGGCCATCACGCCGAAGGCGGCGGCCAGCTCCGGCGGGGGCGGGGCCGCGAATCCGGGCGGCGGAAACTGCGGCACGATGGCGTTCGGCGGCGTGTAGCCCATGCCCCTTCCTGGTGGCGCTCCTCCATTGCCCACGCTAGGGGGAACATTCATTTCACTATTTTGCTATATGGATAATGGGTGTAACGGGCGTCTACCGGTCGTTGCAGGCGCTGCGCCGGCCAATTCACAGTATCTTTTCGGTAAATGGAAAAAAATTGCAAAAATTCTCAAATGCCGCCTAGGGGTGAACTATTAGCGATAACATCGGTATATCGAGTATTTGTGTTTGCGGTCACTATCGATTTGCCGTTTATCGAGTATATGTCCTGTTCGTAGGATAATTTAAAATAAACTTTAAAGTATTCTATTCTGGTTTAGTATTCAATCATGATGTTTACCACAGCTGTTCTACTTATCATATTTTATTTACTCAAGACGCGTAAAAACAACTTGGGCTTTTGGTCAAAAGGTTTCACTGAAACTGTATTTAAAAAAGGTTTAAAATAACGTGTAGTACGAATAATATCGAATCCTTAATTGATTATCGAATACCGATACGATGAGACATAAGAGCTGTCCACCCCGATAAGTTATCGAGTAATATCCGCCGATTGCTTTTTGTTGTGGTCCTCTGACCCTTTCATTAAAATCTCATTTGCTCATAAGCGAGGGTTTCTAGGAAACTGCCGGCCATGAGTGGTTAGCCGGCTACTCAAAGAGTATGTATACTTAACTCCTAGCGGCACCAACCAATCTTATCCGTCCCCCAGTTCCAGCTGCAGCATGCTCCTGCGTCTGCCCATTTTGGCGGCGCGCTTTCTTCACAACGGAAGACTGCGCCTCCTCTTCGGCCTCCTCATCCTGGTGCTCATCGGTGGGCTTCTGTACATCTACACCAGGGAAAATGAGTTCTACCCGTGCTTCATGGAAGGCCAGGGAATGGCAACTCAGCAGTCGCCGGCCGAGGACGGGGATACGAGTTTCCTAGAGGACGTGCTGCTGGCGGAGCCCAAACCCACGCCCGGCAGGAGCATCTTCTTTCACGAGACCAGCTGCAAGCTGTCCCAAAACACCCAGCACGAGACGCTGAAGGTGACCGCCCGCCAGGCCTGCGCAATCGAATCGGCGGCATTGCATAATCCGAATTTCCAAGTGTTCGTCCTGTTCGCCGGCCCCACCGCTCGAATCTCCGCCGGCGGACGCAACAGCAGCCAACCGCAGAGCTTGGTGGAGGCCATCCTGAGCTACAGCAATGTGCATTTGCGGCGACTGAATCTCGGGAGCTACGCCGCCGGCACGCCCATGGAGGAGTGGCTCAAAGACGGCCGCTTGTCCACTTCGCAGTAAGCTAGATGATTCACCTTAGATATTATTCATCACTGATATCCCCTCCCCTTTTCCCAAGGTACTTGTTCTCGCACATTTCGGATTTCCTGCGCTACCTCACCCTCTATCGCTACGGCGGTCTCTACCTGGACATGGATGTGGTGGTGCTGCGCAACATGGAGAAGGTGCCGCCCAATTACACAGGTGCCGAGTCCAATACCCACTTGGCCGCCGGCGTGATGAGCCTGGCAGCCACTGGCTTTGGCCACGAGATTGCCGCCTCCTGTCTGCGCGACTTCCAGCACAACTTTGACGGCCGCGATTGGGGCAACAATGGGCCAGGAGTGATAACACGAGTGGCGCAGCAGATATGTGGCACCAAGGACATTGCTCTGATGCAGGAGGATCCCAAACGGTGCATGGGATTCAAGGTATTCGGGCGTGGCGCCTTTTACGCAGTGCCCTGGAAACGGTGGCGTGATTTCTTTGAGCCCGAAAAGCTGGAGGAGACATTGGCCCGCTGCAAGGACTCGTATGTCGTGCACGTGTGGAACAAGCACTCCAGCAAGCAGCTAATCAAACAAGGTTCAAAGAGCGCCTACGCCAAGTATGCCGAACAAAATTGTCCGAGATCCTATAAGGCAGCTGGGGAATATTTCTAGTATTAGTCAAGAATTTTGTATCTGATTGTTTACCGCTGTAAGCCAAAGATTGTGCCCTTCAAAGGGCACCATTGTTAGGTGGCATAGCTTTCTGTTTGCTTCTTAGGTGTCCGCATTCCAAGCAATAACAGATAACTCAACGCACACATCCCTAAGCTCAAGTTAAACAAAGAATGCATTATTTTTTCGCATTTCGTCTGATTGCACAACGTTATTATTTACATCAACCGATTGGTAATCTCATTACAAAATAGAAAACAAACGAACAAAATTATAAGGCTCTGTAAAAGCTTAGTTTATTAAAATTATCCCACTGTGCTTTATCTCAAATTTACACACAACTAAGCTCGAATAAGTTGGGGAATCTGGTCCATCGTGTACATAGTATTTTTTACAAATAAGTCAGGTGCATATACTATACTTTAATAATAGAACATTAAAATGCGAAATCTTTTCCAAATTACACAAAGAATTATACTTAATTTCAGTGTTTTTCGTTCGTGGACGCTCTCAATTTTCTTCTCTAAAACGAAATGAAAGTTGATAGTCCATTCTACATGCACTGCACCTGGGAAAACCGGAGACAGGCGCCCACATTGTCCTCTGCATTCGCCTTGCCTGCACCCATTCCGTTGCCAAAATGAACGCCTATATAGAAAGGAGTCACTGTGCTCTCGATGCGACATGGCCACACGCCCGATGAGCAGAACTGGGCGCCACAATGGACGGGTTCGCAGCCCGGCAGTGGTCCCAGCCCGGTTCCAATGAAGTCCTCGATGATGCACGGCATGGTAATGCGATCGGCGCAGGTGCTGAAGAACTGGCGAGCCTGGCGCCGTCGCCACTTCAGCGGCAGGTCGAGGGCATTGCGAATGATGCCCATTATGTCGAAGCCTCCACTGGGACGTGGACGCCTCGAGACGCCCGGTTCCTCTGTGGTGGGACGACTCCTGAAGAAGAGGAACCCGCCATCGTCGTCGTCATCATCATTGTCGCCACCTGAGCCCTCCACGTCGTCGCTGGCTGGCGAGGATGCGGTTGCTGCCGAGGTGCTTGAAGCCTCTGTGCTGGAACGCAGCGGTGTGGGAGTGGTTGACGTGGTCGTCGTCGTGCTCATGGCAGCCGTGCTGCTGCTGCTGCTACTGCTACTGCTGCTGCTTCCGGCGGAAGATGCTGCAGTTGAGTTCCCTGTCATCATGGTCATCAGCGTGGCAGTGGAGGAATTGGCCATGTTAGCCAGCATCTGCATGAGGGTACTGGAAGTTGGAGCTGTCGTGGTCATTGCTGCATTGCCCGATGTTGCTGTCGTTGCACCCGCAACATCCGACTGGGCTGCAGCGGAATTCGATGGAATCGTTGATTCTGCCATAATATCACCCCCTCTGGTCACCATTCGTCCGCCTCCGCCAATCCGGAAGGACTGCTCATCGCAGGGCTGATACATAATCGAGCACATGTCCCGCTCCTGACGCACACATATCCTATAGTTCTGATTGGCCAAATGCCGTCCGTTTTCGGCGAAATTAAAGGTCTGCATGAGGCCCTCCGTTCCGGTGTGATATTGCAAACAACCCGCCGGAGCCCGTTGGCTGAAAGGGATCTGCACCACGCTCATCTCCCAAAGGCGAAGGGGCAGCAGGCGACTGGACAGATTGAGACTGATGTCGATGAAGCGATCTCCGGTGGATGAGGAGTTTCCAGTGCTATTAACCGCATCCACAGGCCGCAGACTCCCATACAAAGTGGATTGTCTTGGCGAAGCTCTGGCTCCCACGTCGTAGTATACTAATGGGTAGTAAAGGATATAATATGTTTAAGGATTGTAGAGAATTCGCGGTTTTTGAAGAATCAATAATTATAGAGCCAAGGATAAGCAATAGTGCCTTAGCTAAGAAGAAAACGGTCCAACAAATCTGAAGATCCTCTTGTTCTTAAGAATTCGCGGGTTGGAAGAATTGATATAAAATATATAGATTTATTTTTTTCAAAGGCCGCGAATTCTTAGGAACAAGAGGATTTGTTTGTGTGGATCATACATTACTTAACTAAGAAACCTAATAATATGTTCTATATGGATTTTTCAAAAACCGCGAATTCTTTAGAGCAAGAGAATATGTTTTTGTCGAATGTCAAATGTCGATATATCGTATTCTTTAATTTTTTTTTGGGTAACCTTAAACCTGAACTGGTCTACTTGAAAGCCATTTGACTTGGGTCGCTTGGGTTTTGGATATTGGGGTTTGACTCATTTACCCAAATACCCAAACCCAAACGACCCAAGTCAAATAGGTTTCAAGTAGGTCAGTTGAATTTAAGGTTTGACAAACAAGTCAGGTTACTTGTGCAAAGCTCTAGTAGAGATATACTTACAATGCTGCCCACTGTTCTGCCCGCAGAGGGTGAATTTTCCCCCTGGTCCTCCGCCTACGCTGAAGACATCTCCTTCGCACACGCCAGTCCTTCGATTCGGCTGGCCCAATGTGAAGTGATGGAAGTCAATGCGCACCTGGCTGATATCATCGCTCATCATCTTCACCCGCAGACTGCAGCCACTGAAGTTGCTGGGCATAAAACTGGGGAATCCCGGCGAGACGATGTAGGTGATGTTGTTGGCGATCGTGCTGTTGCAGCTGGCCAGGAACACACAGCACACCCCGAAGCCCATGGCGCACTCTCCCTTCGCCTGTCCGTCCTTCTGGCGGCACTCGTAGGCATTCAGGCAGTTGCCCATCCGCCGACCATCGTTGGACATGCAGTCGCCATCCACGGGAACCGGGAACAGGTGAATCACTGGTGGAATGAAATTTGTATTAAGGAAAAGAACTTTTTATAAGGACTATGAAAATTTAATATAAATAAATAAAATAATTAATGTAAATTTAAATAAATAAATAAATCCAAAATAAAAAAAAAACAAGGAAAAAAAAAAACACGTGACTAGCACATTAATATATAAGTTTAACTTGTAGTGCTGGGAATTTAGATGTAAATAAATAAATAAAACCAAAATTAACTTTGGAAGAAGTAAACTCATTTCTCATTATTACATAAGTGATGTTCCGGTTATTAATTAAATTATCCAACTTTGGATAATTATAAAACTCAAAAAATAACAGTTATTCTTTGAGTTTTACTTTACAAATCAGAAAATAACTGTTAAAGTGTGATTTTTAAAATAAAACTTTTAACAGTTACGGTCCCTGCTTACATATATCAACTCCTGGGAAGGGTTTCTAAAACTTATAGCTCACCTTTTCCCTGCCTGGTGTTCGTCTGGTTGAAACTCCGATCAGAGATATCCTGCTGCTGCCTCTCCATGTCCATGTCCATTTCCAGTTCCAGTTCCAGTTCCTCCTGTATTCCGTTTTGGAGCTTAAAGTCCGCCTCCTCGGCCAGGGACTCCTCCTCGAGATCACCTGGCTCGCCCAAGTGGTCGTCCCAGATATCGTAATGCCGCATGGGTGGCCAGGCGGTCTCGTTGGCCGGCGACATGGAGCTGACTGGAGGAGTGAGCACCAGCTGGAAGATCAGTATGCAAAGTGCAGCGGCGAGGGGCGACAGAGGCGACAGAGGCGACAACAGGTGGCCACAACCGGCTCCAATAACTTTCTTTTTTCTCGCACTGCGACTATCACTGCAGCTCTTCTGGGTGAATCGTAATTTGCAATCGGACCTCCAGTTGGAGTCGTACTGGTACTCGCTGGCATCTTCTTGGCCCGATGACAGCAACAGCATTTTTATGGCTTCCATGTCCATGCCATGCGACTCCTTCTACTTTTAGCACACACTCCGATTATTTTTTTCGCGCGTGCGATTCGCTGCGAAGTTGAATGATAAGTGTTCCGAGATGTGCGGATGCTGGGGCCGTTGGATCTGCTGGATCTGGTGACTGCTAACTGCTGGCTGGTGACTCTGCGGTTGTCTGCAACCGCTTTTCTCCGCGGTTTCTCTCCCATAATCTCCGCTTATTTGCTATTTTCGGCGATCTAATGTTCCATTTCGATTGGGCGCCTCCAAAAGTGGGTCAGGTATTGAGAGCGCACTTCCCACCTGTCTGCTGATTGGTGGGGAAAGGTGGGTATAAACCTTTACTTAGATATATTATTAAAAATATTCATAAATAATAACTCAAATAGTAGGTACTATAACAATGTAGATTTAGAAATAAGCAACAAGCTTTGATAGGTGCAACAAATAATTAAATTATAATTATTTAAGCCTCATTAACAAAGATTAATAGATAAGTCGTAGAAAAGGTCAGGAATCACCTGGGGTTTGAAAACATTCATTGAGGCGTCGAAAAGTATGCAGTAATAAACAAAATCGTAATATTTCAGAATGAAATGGATACATCAGTAAACTGGATTTAAAGTATGTATATTTTTGCATACTATTTCACATTTTTTTAAAGAGATTCCAGATGATTTCTCTGAAAAATTACTATGCCTACTTTTAGACATCCTTGATATGGGCCTAATTTTTTTTTTGAATGTTTCAGAACCACCGTAATTTTTCTAAAAAATAAATGTGCCTACTTTTAAACATCTTTTCAGGTGATTTCAAAACACTATTGAATTCTCTTAAAGAGGGAGTATTCAATTATGTTAAATTATGATATTATATCCATGAAATTTTCTCATATTATACCCATTTTATTTGTATTATTCATTAAAGTAAGATTACTTTTTCTTACCACAACTATATATATTCCAGTTCGCACCTCCTTGGCTGCCTCAACTCTTTTCACACGCCTTTCAACCGATTCTTATCCGTTTAACCCAATCCAGTCCGCAGTCCCCGCCGCCGGAAAAGGGAAAACAATGAAAGCAAAACCATGAAAGGTTGCATATTTAATGACAGCGGAGCCCAGACTCACATGTTCGCGCCTTGAATGCGCCGAGCGAGACCGAAACCGCTGATGGATAATGCATGAATTAGCCGATGAGCGGGTAAGCGGGAAAACCAGAATGGCCAAAAGTGGGTTGGCTGGCATTTCGTGCCGTTTCTGGCCGCTGCGATCTTTCTGAATGAATGCGATATGGGCAAATTGGCCAAGAAGAATCAGGTTAAACAGCTCTGCGGTAATTTACGTTTGTCTCGAATCGAAAAAAATACGATCTTGTAAGGTCCAGCAGAGCGTAGAAAGCGTGTAATGCTCTTAGATTTACACTACAGAATGAAGATATAACAGTGAATCAACATTATATATATATTTCCCAATAAAAAAAACCCACTAAAAGTTATTGAAACATTTGTTGCATTATATTTCGAGTTAGCAAATTTGTCATGAAAGTATAATAGTTTTCCTCTTGGCATTCAAAAATAACAGTCAAAGTTTAAAAATAATTGTGAGCATACTCCATCAACTGATCGGCAAAGTTACAAACTAATTAAAAAGAGTGATCCCAAGAAAGTGGGTCCAAATCGAAAATAAACAACAATTGCGTTGATTATTTGATTTCTGTGGAGTCATCAGCGATTCGCAGCCAAAACTTCCAACTTTAAGACCAGTTAAAGCTGGATTTTGAAGCCGAATCTTTTTAGATCTCTATAGATTGACAATTTATTGTTCCTCAGTTGCTGGGGCATCCCAAATATCTTTTGAGTATTCTTTCGCCTTTAGCGGTAGCCTAAGTTTGAGCTTTGTACAATGTTTAGGGTTAAATATTACGGCATAAGTTAGCTTTAAAGTTTAAACATTATAGTCTATATGTTAGCCCGGTGTTCAGGTTGCTTCTCCCGGTTTAAAGCGGCTCCAGGGCCGCCGGTCCATGTGGACTGCCCTCCAGTTTGCGCCACACCACGTTGCACATCTCTCGCACCAGCGCCTTCTCCCCGTCGTCCATCTGATCCAGGGCGCTCCCGGCCAGATTGCCCAGGCGATCGCGCTCCAGTTGCTCCCGCACCTCCAGCACCTGGAGGGCACGCACCACCGCCTCCGGGCGTCCGGCAATTGGCTCTGGGAGTTGGATAGCCGCCGCTGCTGCCGCTGCAGCGGCCACAATCTCCTGCTGTTGCTGCTGCGATTGCTGCGATTGCTGATGTTGCTGCTGGTGGGGCGATGTTGCTGCTTTGGCGGAGGCTGGTGTGACGGATGCGGATGTGGGCGTGGGTGTGGCCTGCGGCGTTGGCGTCGTCGGCTGCTGCAGGTGGGCGGTGGGCGTGGTGCGCTCCTCCTCCAGCTGCTGGATCCTCCGCTCTAGGGATCGTACATACTGAAGCGTCTGGTCGTTCAGCGTGTGGGCATGACGTAGATCCTGGATAAGAAACCAAATTAGCTTAGATTCTTTATAAGGAGTCGGTATTTTTCCCACCTGTGGCAGTTGCCTTTGCTCCGCATAGTTCCTCAATGCCGTGATGGTCTCATCCGCATTTGTACTCGAGCTGGAACCATCTCCATCGTCGCGCAGCGCATTCCTGGTGGCCGCTCCGCAGCCGGCGCACAGCGCATTGGCCGCCACATGGGCGCGCTCCTCGTCCAAGTACAGGCAGAGCTCCTTCAGCTCCAGATTGTCGGTGATTAGCTCCTGCTGCTTGTCATCCAGCTGACGTAGTTTGTTCTGTAGGAATAGGAATCAGGGGTTAGCTTCATACTTTTAGTAATTCAATGGTTAATAGAGCCCTGCATGAATGGATTCAATGAATTATTTTGAATGTTTGTTTTACATGAATGAATTAATTAGAATTTTGATTTTAATAGAATTGAATGAATTTGAATTTTGAGTTTAATAGAATTAAATGAATAAATGGCATGAATTCCAAAATAATTCAAACAACAAATTTTTTTTAAAGAAAAAAGGCCCATAATTTTGTGATTAAATCTGCCTGAATTTTATTTACTATGCAGTTAACATTGACTTGTTAATAAATTTTCAACTTTTTGTTCTCAAAAGAAAGCACGCAAGCAAATCTGGCAATTCAAAAAATACATTAAAATAATAAATACATTCATTCAATTTAAAATTAATTAGAAAAACATTTAATTTATTTCACATAAAATCACGGTTGCTTTTTTCTCTCTTTTTTTGCGTTGGTTCTTTGGCCCATTTTATAGAATTTGGCTCTTTTTTGCTAATAGGATATTATTTTATATTTTATACCTGAAAAAAACGAATTCATTTTTGTATTAATGCATTTTTTTTGCAATTTTAAAAGTGATTAATGTCTGAAACCCAAAAGTGCCAGATCGAAACTAAATTGTTCTGGTTATGGTATGGTAATTTGGTATATGGTAAAAATTTGGCTCATTTTTAATCTTTTTTTGGTTTATAACAAATTTTTGAAGTGACAACCGTGCATAGAATTGAATTAAATAAATCCAAAAATTTCATGGCATACTACTTATGATAAAACAAAAATTGAATGATTAATTCACCTGGTAGGCGGCCACCTCCTGCCTCATCACACTGGCCGTGTATCGCCCGAATCTCTGCCACTCCCTGGCCAACTTGCGACCCTTCTGCCGGTCGTCGTCCAGGAAGCAGCACAGATCCCTCAGCTCCTGGTTGTCGTCCAGCAGCCGCTGATTCTGCTCCTTCAGGGCGCGCAGCTCGTTCACCAGCGACTGCAGCTGGCGGTTCTGCTCGGCGGTCAGCCTTCCTCCTCCCCCATTAACCGTGGGTATTCCCGTGCCGCTGGACGTGACCGAGGCATTGGGCGATGGGTGTTCCTGGTCCGGCTTGCGCACAAACTTGAGCATATCCTTCGCTCCTCCTCCTCCTCCGGATTGGTGTTGCAGATAGCGCGACTGCTGCTGCTGCTGCTGCTGCTTGATGGAGTCGGGTATGTAGATGCTGGATAGCTGGGGAATATCCGGCGGATACTTGAGGGGCAAATGCGGTGGCTTGAGGATCCCGGTGGCGGGCTGCGGGGGCGGCTGGTACCTCGGTGGGATGGAGTGGGCGGGTGCCGGTGCCTTTAGCTGCGGGCTGCGCAGAGATTGCTGCTGATGTTGCTGCTGCTGCTGATGTTGCAACTGGTAGTGGAAGCTGCGGCGCTGCTGCGACGGCTGCTGGGCAGCTAGATTGGGCAATTCTTTAGCGGATTGCTGCTGGATGGGCAGGCGGGAAGTCAGAGCCTGCTGATGTTGCTGCTGCGTGGAGTGCGGCTGGTGTATCGTGGCCACCGTCTGCAATTGATGTGATTGTTGCTGCTGCTGCTGCTGCTTTTGGGCTGGCGACTGAGCCGCCGGCGTTGGCGTTCCGCTTTGTTGCTGCGCTGAGTTGCTGAGTTGCTGGTGGGGATTAGCAGCTGCTCCTCCTGTTGCCGGCAGCAAAGAGCGTCGTTGTTGCTGCTGCTGATGTTGTTGCTGCTGTAGTTTGTTAATTGCCTGCGTCGCTGCCTGGGCTTTGCCTATTATTTTGTCAACGCTATTTATTTTTATCAAATTATGGCCCAAAGTGGTTGCTCCGTTTGTAGTTGCTGCCGTCGTGTTGTTAGTTAATGACTTCTGCTGCTGTTGTAGTTGTTGTTGTAGTTGCTGCTGCTGCTGTTGTTGATTGCCGGACATTTTCGTGTTGGTTCCTTGTTTGCCTTGTGTCGTTTCGGTTTTTTTCGTCCCCCTCCTTGATTTCCCGGAGTCTACGACCTCGGAGTCATATTGTCAAGTCACCACTCTGCAAGATAACAAAAAAAAATGGGCAGGGCATTAGCGAAAATCTTAAGTGGAAAAAAAGCTATGGGCAAACAATAAATCAAGGCATTGCTCGGTGTAATTTATGCGACAGTCGAGGGCATGCCGCCAGCGCAGCATAATTAAACCTCCATTAGACTGCCGCGCGACGCTGATGGAAAGTGAAATGAGCATTTTTCGCACCACTGGAGCCGGAGACACAATCGGAATCGGAGTCGCTGGAGTCGCTGGAGTCGCAGTCATGACATGGCACACACGTCGACGTCCTCGCCACGGAGTGCTCAACAAAATGCAACGAAGCGTCGCCAAAATGTCGCCAGCACACGGAGAAAAAGCAACCCACACTATGTAGATATTCAGGAAATAGATCTGCTAATATTATATTACCTTTTCCTAAAAGCGGGCCTTTAAAGATACTACATACAAAAAAAAGCACGTCGCCCTAAAAACGATATGATGTAAATGTCAGGTTATTCATACTCATATCGTTTTTCACTGAAATATTCATAAAATTGATCTTAAATAATTTAATTTTGCCGAATTCTATTCTATTTTGTTTGGGTTTGATACACAAAGGGCTTAGGCTAAGATAAGATATACATCATTTGGTAACTATTCAGGTTATACATCTGATATTATTATATTTTTGGCTTTCCTGATTGGGAGATCTTTAAGATCTACGACGGTTTTAGGTTTAAGATATACCACTGGAACCTTTAATAGGTAATGTTTTCAGGATCATAATTTATAAGTTAGGAGCAGCACCCATTATTCAATTTTTTAAATATTTACTCCTAATTAAAAAATTTAAATTATTTTACAAGTAGGTATCTAATATAATTAATTATAATAAATTTTTTTAGAATTTTATTTAAAGTTTGCTCTTAGGCTTTTTTCGACATACCAAAAATTCATATTTAATTAAAATTTAAGATTTTTTCTCTCTGTATAGCGAAGGGAGTATGTCGCTGGTCTTGGCTTTCTGCCTGAGATCGGATGGGTTGGCGCTGAAGCGTCTAATCACCAGATGTGCGTCGACTAAACGGAGGCTTCCGCTTCTGGTTTGGAAACCGAAAGCCTGCCCGATGCACTGAATCGCATATCACCGCATTTATATCTGGAAAGTGAAATTGTTCATGCTTTGATGGATGGCAGGGAAATTGAAATGTTGCAGAGTTCGGAGCTTGACATGATTATGGTAATTTGTTGGGGCAATTGCTAGTAATGACTGGATTAGTATTGCATCACAACGAATTGCGGAGAGTATGTTTTGGGATATTTAATTATGCGGTACTCAACCTTTCAACCTTCGAATGAGTGATTTAATTAAACAATTTAATACACTTTTTTTAAAATAATTCTTATATAATTTTGAAGGTTTCCGCTAACTATAAAAAAAACATTTCAGTTCAGAGGTAATTTATCTTCCAGTTATCATTGAAGATATATTAATGTTTCCGTAAGAACTGAACATTAAAACTGGGCTCACCTTTATGATAAGCTAAAAGTAGCTGGTAAACTGAGAAGGTCTATTGGTTTTACAGTTTGCCCTTGAAGTAGGACTCAGTTTATTGCCCCAGTCTAAGTGGTGAGTAATCAATTTCACTTAAATTCAGCATAGGGAACATCTGCATATAAGTTACAGCTGACATATGCCATAGATCTGAGGGGCTCTTCCCTTTTCCAGCTACTTACGCTGTCAACTTGCCAGCCAAATGTCCGAGGACTCCCCCTTTCTGAACACAAACATCACACATCAGGGGGAGAGAAATGACAACAGGTGTGAAATGTAAGATGCCCGCGAAAGAATTTACAAAAGGCGACCACCTCACCAAACTCATTCAGATCTTTGGGGTATCCGGGAATTACAGAGGAAACCAACAGCCAGCAAACCAAAAAAAAAGCACAAAACAATAAGAGACTGGGGAAAAAATTGCGAAAATAACAAAGGAATGTGGCGAGGGCCTGGTCGCCGAGGTTGGGCCCTTCATTGTTGCACCCAGAGCCCCGAATCGAGTCGTACATAAAGTGGGATCTGTGGCATTCTGAAAAGAAAACTTACAAAACACGGCAACAGTTGTAAATCATCGAATTACCTCAAAATAATAGCAATCGCTCTCTGCCCGTTTGGGGGGGCTGAAATTGGCCAAAAGCAAAACGAAAATGCAAAGCAGAAAAAGGGAAAGAAAAAATGGTATAAAAGGTAAACATTTAAATACCCTTTTTAAGAACTCTTTTTGAAGTAATATTGAAGAAAACCTAAATGGGATTTTTAAAACACTTATACAGTCGCCTAGAAGTATGCAATGAAATTATTTGAATCAGGAAGTTCTAAGTTCATTTTTCGCACTACACCTTTAAACACCCTTTTAAGTGATTTCTACGTTCGATTATATAATTACATGTTAAAGCCATACATTTCCATTGCAAAATATTAAAAGTTAGCTATTTCTCGATATCTAATTTGTGTTTTCCTTTCAAAAAATCGATATTATCGAATTGATATCGAAAATATCGATAACTTCAGGCCTAAAAGTGCTGTTTTGATTGCTCTTCGATTTTCTTCGACAGAAAATTAATTGAAATGTAAGAGCCCTGCTTGAAGGGTATGAAAAACAATGCAACAGCACCCAAAGCATCAGCTCTTCTCTTTCGGAAGACAGGGGGGAAGAATGGAGACTGGGGGGCCAGATCTTGAGTCACAGCCTCTACCAGTAAAAAAAACTCAGTCCCGTTGGCGTAGTTTTAGGCGACTTGCGAAATGAAGAAACCCTCCAAAAAAAACAGCAAAAAAAATTCGTGTGTCAGTTACGCTTAATGAGCACAAATATTGCTCTCGTTGTTGTTGTTGTTAGCCCGGCTATTGTTGCTTTTGGTGTAGATTTACTGGCTTTGATTGCCATGCCGTGTGCAAGTTGAAACTGGGATCCAGTCCCCTTTTGAGTCCCCAGTCCAGCCTCTGAGCTCGATTTCAATGAAGACGAGTCTGGGTCTCCCAGTCGGAAATGCCAATACTTAACCCTCAACTGCCCCCCAGATTCATTCGCGGCCAGCGAATCTCCCTTTTTTTTTTTGGCCGGAGCCATGAGAAAACAAGGGGAAACAGCAAATGAAAAGCTTGGCGGGCAGCACATAATGATGAAGGAGTGAAATTAAAATGGCAAATCGTTATGGAAGAACTTGGGATACTCTAAGTAAAGAAAAACTATACTACAACATAACCTTAAAAATAAAAAATAACCGATCCTATATATATTATAAGCTTAAAACTTAATTGCCAACCTAATTAACGCCTAAAATATTCTGTAATTATAACTATGAGTTACTCATTAGGTAAAAAACCCGAGATCTATAATCGGCTGATTTATAGCCCACAAAGAAACCCCTTCGGCAAAGGGTACACCCATAAAAAGCCTTCAATTTGTAGCACATGTACACATACTGCGACTTAACCTTTACCAACCTCCCTTCTTAACCCCCGGTTAAGACCCCTTTCCAGCAAATAGCAAATCATCACCTGGGACCCGAAGCCCAAGTCAAAGTGGAGAGAGGCAAATAAAATGTTAAAAAAAAAATAAATAAAAATGTACAATATTCAATATGCGTGTTTCGGCCTCCGGCGATGCGTGTATTCCACGCACTTAACTCTGAGTATTTACTCTTTTATTTTAGCTTTTATAATTTTATGCGTGCTCCGTTCCTTTCGCCAATAAACTTTTGATCTGACTAATAGCCAACAGCTAATGGCTGCCTTTGTTGATGGCTTAGAAATGGCATAGGCGTTGGCCTCAGTTCGCTTTGGCCAATAACAAATTGCCATAATTAGTGCCATTTTAATGTGGGGTTCCAACTCACAGATCTCGCCCAACTCCCCAGTAAATCTGAATTCATAACGAGCCGAGTCTTATTATGCACCCCGAGGGGACCTATTACAATAGTCAGTGGCTTCCGATTCTCAAAACAGGAGGAGGTTAAGGTGTCGGAGTGCAAAATTATGAAAATTACTTTTCCCACCACTTTGTGGGTGGTTTCTTCTTCGGCTGAAAGACTGGGAACCTCAGAGTCCCGATCTCAACTCGACAATGGACAATAAAACAAGAGTGGCACACACACAAAAACATAATAAGTTTTTAATGGGTCTAGCCATGAATTTATTTGTTATAGATGGCAACTGCCAGATAGAAGGCAAGTTAATGGAAAACATCTTGAAGGGTTAAACTGGGAGTTACACGCAAGGAGGCAAGTAGAAAGAAAACTGGTATCACGATATGCAAACCCTATATCCCTAAATTAAAACTATGTATAATACATACATTTTTTTATCGATTTATTTCATAATTTAATAATTTTATTTATTACCGAAATCTGCCGAAAACATAATTTACAATAAATCAATTTCGTGTCATTATTATTTTTTCGCAAAAAAGCTCTTTAAATGTAATGATGAAGCAATTTTTGGAGTGAACTTGATAAGCTGTTGCCAGCCATAAAAAATTGCTGTTGATCGTTTTTACATAATCTTTAAGTTATAATCATTTTTCGCTTGCCATTTGATCATTATTGCAGCAAATGGGCTTCATCAACTTAATTTTTTGCTAATCTTTGGCTTTTTTTCTATTAATTAATTAAAGCTATTTTTCGAATCGGCATATTCGCTTTGCCAGATTGGCCAGCGGACCGTGAAACAAGTGTTTAATTAAGGAAATGCGAGAGTCGAGTACGCAAAAAACACGCACACGTGCAGGCCGTAATTTAATAAACCCAAAAGACAATCAGCGAAAAAAATTGGTTAATAAACGTAAAGCCATAGGGGGAAAAATAAATAAACATGGATGGATGGATGGATTGGATGGCTGGTTGAGAAACGCTCAAAGTCACTCAAGGTTAAGAAATCTCTTTGCGCACGCATACCAATAAGCATACGCAGTGTGGCCACAGATCGCAGATCGCAGGCAATGACAGCATTTTGGCCTTTTCGAGTGA